CTGTAACTCATAGGTTCCCAAAGTGGGTGATACCACCCCCCAGGGGGCACTGGAATGATCCAGGGAGGCAGTAGTAGCCTTGGGTGCAACTGGGGGGCAATGAATGAAAATAAGGCATTGGCGAAAGCATAAGGAAAGAAGAAAAGATAGAATTTTTGAAAAACTGTTCACACATATTTCATCTGTTGCATAACAGAGTTAAAGTCACAGTGAATACATTATTTTCCAAATAAACACACAAAATGCAAGTTATAACCAATCAGTGGTCAAGTCTGCCTGTGTCTCTTTTTTATTTTTGCTAGGCATTCAGGGTTAAGTGACTTGCCCAGGGTCACACAGCTAATAAGTGTCATGTGTTGTGTGTCTGAGACTAGATTTGAACTCAGGTCCTCCTGACTCCAAGGCCAGAGTTCTATCCACTACCCCACCTAGCTGCCCCTTACCCATATGTCTTAACAAGCAAGCGTTGGCAGGAGAGCATGTAGTGCGTTGTTAGAAGTCCAGCGTGCATCAGCAGGAATATGTGTGTGTGATGACTTATTTACAATATGATCCTATATGATTACATGACACAATATTGCATCATCAAAATTTCAATGCAAGAAAAAACATAAATTTACAATAAATTATTAAGTTTAAGACGCATCATTTAAAATATATATATATATATATATATTTTAATGTTAAAGGGTTAAAGAAAGTAGATTTCCAGGGGGGCAGTGAGTAACTTTTTTTAAAAGGGGACAGTAGGTCAAATAAGTTTGGGACCCTCTGCTGTAACTCATTTAACCTTTCCTTTAGAAATTTGGATGCTATACCATTTGGTGCATATATGTTTAGTAATTATATTACTTAATTGTCTATGGTGCCTTTTAGTAGGATGTAGTTTCCTTCCTTGTCTCTTTTAATTAGATCTATTTTTTGTTTTAATTTTGTCTGAGATTAGGATTGCCACCCCTGCTTTTTTTACTCCAGCTGAAGCATAGTATAGTCTACTCCAGCCTTTTACCTTTACTCGGTGTGTATTTCTCTGCTTCAAACATGTTTCCTGTAAACAACATATGGTGGGATTCTGGTTTTTGATCCACTCTGTTGCAAGCTTCCATTTCATGGGAGAGATCATCCCATTCACATTCATAGTTATGATGATTACCTGTGTATTTCCCTCCATCCTATTCTCCCTCTCTTTATACTTTTCTCTCTCTCTCCTTTCACCTTGTCCCTCCTCAGCAGTGTTTTGCTTCTGACCAGCACCATCCTCAATCTGCCCTCCCTTCTCTTAGGCACCCTCCCTTTTCTTGTCTCCCTCTCCACTTATTTCTCTATAGAGTAAAATAGACTTCTACCCCCAACTGCGTGTATGTGTTGTTCCCTCTTTGAGTCAAGCCTGATGAGAGTAAGGTTCAAGTGATTCTCGTCCCTTCCCTTCTCTCCCGCCTCTTCATGTGTTATAGTGTTCTCCATTCTGCCTCTCCTCTCCTTCTTCAGTCTTCCAGTTTGCCGTGCACTGCTCCTCCTCACTCTCACCCACCCCCAAATATCCAAGAAGGGCTAAATCTTATCACTTCTACCCCCATGACATTTCTCAAGCTTGTCCCCTCCTCAGGCTCCAGGCACGTGTTCTGCCTGCCTGTTCTGCCTCTCTCCTCTTCAAACCATCTTCCGCAGGTCACTTAAAAAACTCTTATGGGTCCCCACTGACTTTGGGAACAAATATAATTTCACCTTTATCTCATTCTTTAAATATTTTAAATTTCATGTAAGTTTTGTAAGTATACATAATTACTGGCATAGCAATGCTAATTTGTGTTTTCATTTAATTTTATTTAATTTTGTTATATTTTATATAAACACATATTTTAATTATTAATTATTTATAAGTAAGTATACACATACTGGGGGGCGCACGTGCGAAAAGATTTTAGTGGCTTCTCCACCAATGCAGATTTTAGTCCTTCTCTCTCTCAGTCAAAAAAGAAAAGGTCTTCAAGAATTGCTGTGGTCAAAAAATTGAACATTCCTGAAACCACCTTGGCAATGTGGTTCTAGGAGAGTCCTTGGAAAACAGACTCTTCCCTGCAGGTTTAACAACTTGGGAAGATATGCTGGAGAGTGTGACTGTCTGCCATGGCCTTGGCAAGAGCCCAGAGCCACCTCCATGTGAGCAGGAAGTACTGGAGGAGACCTTAGTGGAAGGCACCAGGTGGGACCACTAGAAAATGTGATGAAGGGAGCTTCCGTCCCTAATAGCAAGAAAAAGAAAAATAGCTACTTGGGCATTAACCTAACTCAAGGCACAAGATATTTGTTTGCTCAAAGAAAACTATGAAACTTTAACTTGGAGTTGGAGAGCCTATGCTCGGAAAGCTCCGTGTGCCAGGATCACAGCTAGAAGGGGCTTTTGAGGTCCTCGACTCCAACTCTCTTCTTTTCACAGATGGAGACGGAGGCTCAGAGAAGGGAAGGGCTTGCCCAAGATTACATAGGCAGTTAAGTGAGAGAGCTCAATTTTGGGTTTTTTGGTTTTGGTTTTGTTTTTTTGCTAGGCAGTGGGGTTAAGTGACTTGCCCGAGGTCACACAGCTAGTAAGTGGTATGTGTCTGAGGCCAAATTTGAACTCAGGTCCTCCTGAATCCAGGGCTGGTGCTCCATCCACTGCGCCCCCTAGCTGCCCCAAGAGAGGTCAATTTTGTTGTTGTTCAGTCACTTTTGCTCCTGTCTGATTCTTTGTGACCCTATTTAGGGTTTTCTTGGCGAAGATACTTGAGAGATTTGCACTTTCCTTCTTCAGTTCATTTTACAGATGAGGAGCTGAGGCAAACAGGATTAAGTGGCTTGCCCAGGGTCACACAGCTAGGAAGTGTCTGGGCTGGATTTGAACTCAGGTCTTCCTGACTCCAGGTCTGGTACTTTTCCACTGTGCCAGTAGGCTAAATATAGTGAAGATAACAAAACTTCCTAAGCTAACATATTTATTTAATTACGTATCAGTTTTAAAATCCCTGCAGGATATTTATAGCAACTTGATAAATTTGATCATGAAATGTATCAGAACAATAAATGGAAAGAATAAGAAAGGTGGTTGTTGTTTTTTTAAGAATGATGATAATGGAGTTACCCTATCAGATTTGAAAATATATTACAAAATGGTAATTATCAAAAAGAAAGTATTAGCAGTAGTAAATGACCATTGTAACCTAGTGTTTGATAAACCCAAAGATCAAGCTTTTGGAATGAGAACTCACTATTTGATAAAAATTGCTGGGAAAACTAGAAAGCAGTTTGGCAGAAACTAGGCATAGATCAGCATTTTGCACTGTATACCAAGATAAGGTCAAAATGGGTACATGATTTAGACATAAAGGGTGATATCATAAGCAAATTAGGGGAGTGGAAAATTTTATCTGTCAGATCTAAGGAGAAGGGAAGATTTTATGACCAAACGAGATGGAGAGCATTACAGGATATAAAATGGATAATTTTGGTTACATGAAATTAGAAAGGTTTTGCACAAACAAAACCAATACCCCTAAAATTAGAAGGAAACCAGGAAACTAAGGTGGGAGGGGGGCTGGAATTTATAGCAAGTTTCTCTGGTAAAGGCCTCATTTCTTAACTATATAGAGAACTGAGTCGATTTTTTAAGAATACTTGTTATCCCCCAGTGGATAAATGGTCAAAGGATATGAATAAGCAGTTTTCAGAAGAAGAAATCAAAATTATCTATAGTCACATGAAAAAATGTTCTGAAGTATTTATGATAAAAAATACTATATACCTCCAGAGAAAGAACTGATGGAGTCTGAATACAGATGGAAGCATACTTTTTTACCTTATTTTTCTGGTTTGCTTGTTTTGGGTTTTTTGGTCTGTTTTCTTTTACAACATGGCTAATATGGGAAAATGTTTTGCCTGACTTCACATGTATAATCTGTATCAAATTACTTGCCTTCTCAAGGAAGGGAGAGAGAGAATTTGGAGCTCAATTTTTTTAAATGAATGTTAGAAATATTTTTACATGTAATTGAGAAAAATAAAATAAAATAAAAAGAAGGTATTGGGTTAATAATAAACATTTTGATTGATTAAATGTAATTGCTGGTTTTTGTCCTTTGTTTTCAAAGAGGACCAATGACATCTCAGCATGATGTCTTGACTCATGCATGAATTGGCTTTAAGTGAGGCAGAGTTGTACAAGTCATCAGCTTCACCTTCTCAGAGTAATTGCAGTCCAGGTGCAAGACAGAAGTCAAGACAACTGGTGATGGCTGGGGATGCGGCAGATGACGTCTTCAATGTCTACAAGCTCTAAGTGCTCCACAGTGCCTGCTTCAGCCACCTTCATGGACATTGGAACAAATTGATCTCACCCATCCATTCTGCCAAGGGAAATCTTTACATGCTTGGGGAAGACATCCCCCTAACTTACTGACAGGCATGAGGCCTGTTGGTTACCCTTAACTTGGTTTAGCCTGCCTGCTGAAACAGTTTCTTGGGGTGTGGCCACTGCGCATGCTACAGCTCGAAGGCTCTTGAGGTGCATGGGGTGTTCAAAGAGGCCTAGCACCTCTGGTGTGAGGGCTTGCCAAGCCCTTTTCAGGGCTGTTCATCAACCTTTGGTATCTACCTGGCATTCAACTCTCACCTGATTAAATATAATATTGCATAAATAGATTCAGAATAGTTTTTTAAATGAATACTTTGATATTTTTTTCCCTCAACAGCCTTCCTTCATACCCTTGTTGCAATATGTAATTGACTGGCAGAACCTACCAGGCTTGAAAAGCCCATATTACAGCCCAGTTATGAACTATAAATTTGTCACCCTGCCTGCCCCAGACTACCTTACTCATTGTCTGCTCCAGAGGAGGGGCTAATTCAACCTGTCCCTTTAAAATTCAGCCCCTGGAATGTCAGGGCCTAAAAGTTCTGAGGAAGAGACAATTGGAGGAGTAAGCCAAGGGAAGCCTATGGGGGTGAAAGAGATAAGATAACCTTCTCGAGCCCAAATGGGAGAAGGGAGGACCACCAGCAAAAGAGGGAAAAACTTGAGGGCCTGGCTGGCCTGGTGTGAAGTAAGAGCTCAGGGGTCCGTTGGGACACCAATCAAGGATGTGGGGAGGAAGGAGAGAGGGGATGGTTAATGAGTCCAAGGGGGAAATGGAGGATTCTAAGGCAAACAGGACTACGTGAGGGCCCCAAGTCCATTGCCCTAAGGATAACAATGGCTCTAAGGCCACTTTGGTGCAAGCAAGAGTGTGGGTGTTGTGGGGCAAAGTCCCAGCTGTGTCACTAATTCACCAGGTGACCGTAAACAAGTTACCTCACCTCCCGAGGCTTTGGTTTCACCACCTATAAAATAAGAGGGTTGGAGTAGATCACCTCCCTTCTAGTTCTGAGATACATAGGACCAAAATATACGAACACACATATATGTAACATACCCACATACACTCAATAGCCAACTGGACATGCATCCCTAAACATGTACACACATGAATGAATGAGCCTATAAGCACATATCTCCATACATAACACATCGACTTTAATCCACCTGCTCATAAACTTAAATCTGGAAGGTCATCCAACCCCCTCATTTTACAGATGAGGAAACTGAGGCCCAGAGAGTTGATGTAACTTGTCCAAAGGCACACAGGTAGTAAATAGTAGACCCAGGATTTGACTCCCAGCTTTCACTCCAAACCCAGGTCTCACTGTAACCACACAGCCTTATTCTATTTTCTTTTCTTTTCCTTTTGAGGCAGTCAGGGTTAAGCGGCTTGCCCAGGGTCACACAGCTAGTAAGTATCTTAGGCTGGATTTGAACTCAGGTCCTCCTGACTCCAGGGCCAGTGCTCTATCCACTGTGCCAACTATTTTCTATTTTCTAAGGCCCCTTTCCAGCTCTCTCACATTCTTAGATTCTGTAATTCTAGGACTACACCTAGCTTGGAATTCCAGAAACCCCAGTCATCATAGAGCAGGACAATTTTCCAGGATCCAGATGGGTTGCTCCAGGGGTTATTGAGGTTATGGAATGGACAACACCTTTTTGGGACTGTTCCCAAGGGAGGCCAGGTGCAGCAGCTGGTGCCTCTTTAGACCCTTATCCCAGCTCAGGGACAGCAGCTGGCAGAGCTAGATGGTGTTCTGGAGTCCCCAGTAGCAACAAGCAGGAGAAATGTCAACCACAGCCGCAAAAGAATTCCAAAAATCACACCAGGAGTCAGTCAGGTAATGCAGAGTGGGCCTCTAAATCAGGAATCATCTGGGATTGGTCCATACCCCTGCCACCGCTCACTTGCTCCCTCCATTCTCGAGGTCACTTGCTGAGTCCTTGAGCTTTCTCTGAGTTTGAAGAAGCAGTCACTCACAGGGCCAGCTGAGGTTAAACTATGAAGGCAGTCTGGCCTCCCCATTTTGTTCTAGTCTACCCTCGCTTCATCCTCCATCCTCAAGGCCCCTCTCCAATCTTTAATCCCATCTCTTTGCTCTCCCTATTGAGTCTGGCATCGAAGATAAGGGACTTCATCTAATTTTACACTCAAGTGTTAATGACTAATGTTATCTTACCATTAAGTGACTCAGGGAGAATTTCAGTCTCAATAGGGCAAGGAATAATGCCTTAGCCCCAGTACCTTAGGATTTAGTAGTGAAATCTCAGGTATCAGGGTCAGATCCATTGAGAAGAAGAAGATATGGCAGCCAAGGGCACGGCTTAGGATGTTTGAGAGGCCCTAGAGGTGAGCAAGAGTCACCTGGGATGAAAAAGGCTCCACTGTTGAAGGAAGGACCCAGATGGATGAGATTTCAGGGTCATTATCAAAAGGTAAAGACATTGTTTTTGATGCCCCCGCACATCACAGGATTTAGAACTAGAAGGATCCTTACAGATGAGGAAATTGACTGATTTGCCCAGGCTCACACAGGTAGTGAATGACAGAGCTGGGATTTGAACTCAGGTCTTCTGACTCTCCATTCAGTGCCTTTTCCACTACATACCAACTCTATGTGACATAATAGAAGTTGGCTCTAGGAATAGGGCAAAGCCAGCCCTGGTCTGCCTGCCTGCCCCTGGGAAAACCTCTCTTACCCCTCTCTCCCCTCCGTGTCTCTCTCTTGGCCTCTCCTAAGCTCTGGCTCCTTCTCTCTCAGATGGTGCTACACATTCTCAGCCTCATCTCAGAACAGGACAGAGCTACTCTGAAGGTATACTGCTTGCTATGGGCCCTAGAGCCTCCCAAGGCATTTTCTTGGCCCTCCACTAGCTCCACTCTGCACCTCCCTGCCTTTGTCCTGCCCTGCCCTGCCCTTCTCAACTCTGCCTCTGCTTGCCCCCTTCCCCCCACCCCTACATCAGAAGGGGTCCCTTGGACTGAGAGGCTTTGTATGGGTGGTGACTAGTCGGTTTCCCCTCAATGTACCAGCAATGGAGGCCAATATGTTTTGGGGGTGGGAGGGTCTCTCCTTCAGGGGAAGTATCCATGGCCGGATTCCATCGGAGGTGCCACTAGGGAGCAAGCTGGGGTGAAGTCTCAGACTGGAAGACACTCGGACCTGTTCCAAGCCAGGGAGCAGGAGGCAGAAGCCGGAGGAGCGAGAGGGTGGCTGACTACCTTGGCCCCTGGGGGGTCAGAGCAGACCCTGGGACAGGGAGAAGCAGCGGAGAAAGGGCCTTTGAATGACAGGGCTAAGGGAAGGAAACCTCGCTCTGGGACTGGGATCGGGTGAGCTGAATGACTGGCTTGAAGGAAATTTCACCTCCGGGGTCCAACCCTCTCTTCCCAAGGGTGACCGGAAGGTCCTCTGCCCCTGGGGAGGAGGGACAGAAAAGTTTATGTGTTTATGTGTCTGTATACATGAATACATGTTTGGGAGTACAAATGTGAGTGTGTGAAGGTGTGTTACATGGACAGTTATCCCTTCCACATCACAACTTTCTCCATCTCGGTTTCAACATATCGTGGGTCAGCCTAAGAAAGCAAATGGGAATTTTGGGGGAGTTTTGTGGAAGCCACAGACATCACATGAAGGCTGGCAGACGATACAGAAAAAGTTTAGAAATTCAGAAATGCATAAAATATATGTATAGTACTGTATAACATCAACATATCCTATCTTCTAATACCATAATAACTCGAACTTCTCTGGTACAGAGGGAGGGCCAAAAAATTTTACATAGATTTTCCAGATCACAGGGGCACTGTGCCCTTAACCCCAGCAACTGTATACATCTGTTGGTATGTGTTGTATGTAAGATGTAGGCACAAGTTAGATCTATGTCTTGTTTGTATATGCTTTGTATATACATGTGTGTGGAATTTCTTAGGGTGGAATTACGTATTGTCTGTATGTATGCCATGAAAAGCATAGTAATATAATAGATAGCAGCTGACCTCAGTGCTAGAAAGACTGCGCTCAAGACTCAGGAAGGAAAAAGTGTGCAATTGTGTGTGCAGACCAGCCCCTAGAGACAACCAGTGCCTTAGTATATTGAGAGCACATAGTAGTCAATAAGCATTGGTTAAATTGGAAATTATCAATACTCCCTTGAAACTAACCTGGGACTAAGCCCCAGGTTCAAGGGTCCTTAAAGCCACTTGCTTTGTGGGCCAGGTAAAACATGCCCTCAGGCTCAGGCCTTCAGACCATGTAGTTTTTTTCTGATTATGCTTCAGGAAAAACAGGTTATGGATGGGGTTCTTCCAGTGTTCAAGGAATGGAGACCGGCTGGCTGTTGATCTTGGGCAAACTATTGGCCCTTAATGGCCCTAATCTGTAAAATGAGAAGGTCGGACTCATCTCTCAGTCGCCTCTCACCTCTGACATCCTGTGTTCTGAGGTCTCTCTCTGCTTTGACATTTTATATTCTAAAGCCCCTCCCAACTCCGACATCCTATGTTCTAAAGTATCTCCCTCTCTGACATTTTATGTTCCAAGGGCACTCCCAACTCTGAAATTCTGTGCTCTTAGGTTCACCCCCTAGTTCCAATATTTTCTGTTCTAAAGTCCTGACTCTGACATTCTGTGTTCTGTGTTCCAACTCAGACATCCCCATTCTAAGGTCCCTTCCATCTCTAACATCTCTAACATTTAATAACAGTTCACATTTACATAGCAACTGTCTATTGGATACCTTCTATGTGCCAAAACACTATGGTAGGAGGAGCCTAGGTGAGACGTAGAGATAAGAAGGATTCCTGCCTTAATGGAATTGAATGGAGTCTAATAGAGGAGATGATACATGTACACAGATAAAGATAACACAAATCAGAATACTATAGTGGCAGAAGAGGAAGAAATTATTGTTCTCAGGTGGGAGATGGGGAAGACTTCTAGAGCAGAGAGATCTGAGCTGCAGTTTGAGAGTTGGGTGGAAAGTCAGCAGGGAGACATGGAAGGGGAGGGCACTGCAACTGAAGTCTCTCCCACTTTGAGGTTCATGTCATGGGAAACCACTTTAACCCTGCCTCTGTGCTCTGGAGGGGCAGAGAGAGCATCTCGAGCTAGAGGAATCAGAAAACCCAACAGGCCCTGGGGGGCTGGTATGGAGGTGCTATGGAGGATAGGTTGCAGATAGCAACCCATGGATGACTCTTTCCTCCAGGCAAGACTCTTTCTGCTCAGAAAAGGACAGGACTGAGCGCATTTCAACATCAGCATCAGCATCAACCACCACGAATATTCAGGGGTGTGAGGTGAAAGCTCAGCTTCGTCCTGAGAAGTCAGCAAAAGGATCTCATGAGAACCAAGTGAGTTTCCCCAGCCCAGACCTACAAGCTTCAGGGAACCTACAGGTAATTCTGGAGCTTTATAGGGAGTTTGGGGAGTGTGTGTGTGTGAATCAGGATAGTCTGCCTTTTAGGGAGACTTCATTTATTTTAAGGCAAAGTTGATCAGCTTACTATGTCATGCACCCACTGCTTTTAGATCTGTCTTCTGGGGCTACCCAGAGTTAAATCTCCCTGTTCTCTGCGACAATCCTTCCAAAGCTTGAAGACAGCTATCTCTCATTCCCTCCTTCGAGTCATCCCTTCTCCAGGCTTACTAGTCCTATTTACTAGTTGTGTGACCCTACGCAAAGTCCCTTAACCTTTGTCTGCCTCAGTTTCCTCAACTGTAAAATAGGGATCATAATAGCACCTACTTCCCAGAGCTGTTGTGCGAATCAAGTGAGATAATATTAGTAAAGTGCTTAGCACAATGCATGGCACATAGTGGGTGTTTTAATGCTGCTTATTCCCTTCCTTCCATGGCTGAGCTAATTTTCAGATCCCTCACCATCCTAGTAGTACTCTTCTGGACATTCTCCAGCTTGACAACGTTCTTCCCAAAACATGACACCCAGAAATGAACACATTCTTCAGGTATCTGACCCAAAGAGAGGACATCTAGGCTATCATCCCTCTGGCGCCACATGTTAGACTTCTATTACGCACTTTAAGGAGTTACATTTCTTTTGACTGACACGACACAGCATTGGCTCATATGCAAACCCCTCCTTGAATGTAAGCCCTCTACATCAGTCATCATCTTGTCAAAAAGCCATCCATCCATCCACAAAGCCAAGAAGACCCGAGTTTGAATCCTACTTCCAATACATACTGGTTGTGTGACTATGGACAAATCTAAGCCTTGGTTTCTGTGTCTGTAAAATGGGCCTCCTAATATTTGTAGTACCTAACTCATAGGGTTGTTGAGAAGCTTAAATGAGATAATGTCTCTAAAGTGAATTACAAACCTTAGAATTTGATACGCATGTCAGTTATCAAGACTATTATGGTGAAGATTATTATTGTTATTATTTCATCTTTTTTGATGGAGTTCGAGATAGAAATGGTCCTGGGACAACTTGCTAGCCTGTAATGATTCTTTCATGTTTAATATTCTATGGAGTTTTATTCTCTTGCTTTTTGTTCCATGAGACTTGGAAATTACAAGTATTTGGCATGGCCACACCTACTGAAAATAAGTTTTTATGGTCTGAGTGAGTCAGTATTCCATCTAGGTGACTGTAGGCAAAAATTCGGTTTGTGATAATGGACTGCTTCCAGTACAGTCTATTAGTTGAGTTCTCTAAGGTACTTGGAGGTCTGTATTAGGTGACAAGTGATGAGTGTCTAAAGAGGATGGTGGCTGTGTGAGTAGAGAGGAGAGTACATATACAAGAGATGCTATGGAAGGAGAAGAACAGTAACATTTTGATAACAGATTGGATACGTGGGATAAACGTAAATGAAGAGTCAAAGAAGGCACAGAGTTTGTGAGGCTAGATGACCGGGAGGCTGGTGTTGATTGCGACAATAAAAGGGATATTTGGAAGAGGGGTAGATTTGAGGGAAAAGATAATGAATTTTGGTTTTATTGTTGTTGTTAAGTCATTTCTGTCCTGTCCAATTCTTTGTGACCCCATTTGGGGTTTTCTTAGCAAAGATAGTGGAGTAGTTTGCTACTTCCTTCTCCAGCTCATTTTACAGATAAGGAAATTGAGTCAACCAGGGTTAAGTGACTTGCCCAGGATCACACAGCTGGTAAGTGCCTGAGACCAGATTTGTACTCAGGAAGATGGGTTTTCCTAACTCCAGGCCTAGCACTCTACCCACCAAGCCACGTAGCTGTTTTGGACATGGTGAATTTGAGATGACTATGGAATGTCGAATTGAAAATGTTCAACAGGCAGTTGTTGATGTGGGGACTGAAACTCAAGGGATTAGGGCTGGATGCACAGATCTTGGCGTCATCTACATACAAGACTTCAACATATTTGCTGTTGTTCCATTACATGCTCAAACTTCCCTATTCCTCAATTCACACAGCTCCCATGATCTACTCTTCCACTCCATGTTAGATACACATAGGAATGGTCATATCCTTGATCATATCCTTGCAAGATTTCCTCATCCATGGTCAAGAACTCCCAAATTTCTTCATCTTTTATAGTTTTATTTCTCTCTCTCTCTATGCCTTGTTCCTTCTAAATTCATTCTTCAGTCTCACCATGACCTCCAGTCTTTCCACCCCTCAGTACTTTCCCAGACTATCACTCTTGCTGTGGTTATACTCTCCTCTATTCCCATTCTAGATCCTTTGAGGAACCAGGTCAACTCTACACTATTCTCTAACCTCCAATCCCTTGTTCCCTTGTCCTACTGCTAGTCATTCCTTGCCCAAATCCAGTCCCAGATTACTTCCCTCACCTGCCTCCTTCATTTCTACTATTGTGCTGCTGAGTGAAGTCATAGAACTATGCTGAATGGACAGATTATAAATATACTGCCTAATTTCACCTAGACTCTTACTACAGTAAGATCATCCTTCTATCCTTCCCTAATCTATCCTCTTTCCCATCTGACACAATGGAGCAGATGCTCCACACCTTTTCTTCTTTTCTCAAGCCTTCTGCTTCACTGGAAAAACAGCTATTTGCTGAAAGTTCCCTCTTCACCACTTTGTGCTATCTCATATCCTTCTGACATCATCCCCTACTGTCTCCTGCTTTACTCCAATTTCCAAAGAAGAGGGAAAAGATAATAAATTTTGTTTTTATTGTTGTTGTTAAGTCATTTCAGTCATGTCCAACTCTTTGTTGCTTTTTTCCATGCCTACAGACACTCTCAAGTCTCCCCATCCTCAGAAAACTCACAAAATCTTACCGTGGCTCTCATCCTATGTCTCCCCTCCCTTTCTCAGTTAGACTCCCTAAAAAAGTCATCTATGTATGCCCATATGTATCTCTATTTCCTCTCTTCTTACTTTCTTCTCAACCCTCTATGGAGTGTGTGTGGAAATCACCTCTACCAATGCAGATCAACAAATTCCTCTGTAACTTACAGTCTTAGAGAATTGCCCTGAGGTGGGAGAGGGGCACCATATTTGAGGACTTTCATTAGCTGGAGAGTTTCCATAGGGCAGCCTCACAACAACTCTGTGAGGTAGATGCCATTATTATCTCCATTGTACAGATGAGGGAAATGAGGCTAAGAAAGGTTAAGTGACTTGCCCAGGATCACTCAGAAGGTAACTAGATTCGAATCCATGTTTTCCTAGCTCCAAGTCCAACTTTCTACCCACTATACCATCTAGCTAAGGAGCTGGGAATGTTTAGCTGGAGAAGAGAAGTCTTACAGGGACTTAATAGCTGTATCCAAGTATTTGAAGGCTGTTACAAGGAAAAGGAATTAGATTTGTTCTGTTTGGCCCAAAGGATAAGACCAGGAGCAGTGGGTAGTGATTGCCAAGAAGCAAATTTGAGATTGATGCCAGGAAAAACTTCCTAACAGAGCTGTCCAAAAGTGGAATGAGCTGCCTCAAAATTCTAGCCTTCAAGGCGAGGCTGGATGACCACTCGTTGGGTATGGTACATTGGGGATTCATTTTAGGTATGGCTTGGACCAGGATGGCCATGGAAATGCCTTCCAACTCTCCAATTCAGTGATTCTGTGATTGTGCTAGAGCACAGGAGTTGAAGAACCTGATGACCAGGGAGGCCATTGTACTTGAAATGCAATTCACATTCATTAAGATTCATCCACATAAATCTTAAAATTGACAAGGATGAGGGCAAGAGTTGATGTAAAAGTACATAAGGCATAGAAGAAAGAAGGAAAGTAACCAGGATTCTGGTAGAAAGCAGTAACAAGAATTTGGACCACAGGGTATAAATAGATGACTGCAATTCAAAAGAGGAAATATTGGTGAGTGGTGATCAGGAAGTGACCCCATGTATGCCTGCTCCTTTTAACCCAAGGACGATGGGGGCATGAGAGGATAATCAGTTTGCACTGGAGAGGGTAGACAGGGATGCAGTATTGTCAACAGAAAGCCAGGTTTCTGAAAGTGTGTCCAGAGATGGAAGGAATGTGAGAAGAAGAGATTCAGGATGAAGGAAAGTTCCTTAACAATAGAGTGGGAGATAGAGAAGGAAAGAAGGAAAAAGAAGGAAAGAACAAAGGAGGTAGAGTGGAAAGATCATTGATTCTGAAGTCAGACAATCCAAGTTCAAACCCCACCTCAGATACTTTCTACCTGGGAGACCTCAGGTAAATCATTTAATCTCCCTGGGCCTCATTTTCATCAGATGTTAGATGAGGCTGTTGGAATCAGGTCCCTTCCCACTCTAGACTTGTGATCCTCTGATTTTATGACTGGGAAGAAGTGGGTTATGCTGGTTAGAGATGAGAATGTAGGGAAAGTGAGCAGGGAAGTACGGTTTTTACCTCAGGAGGCAGGTCAGTGTGCCAGCATTTCTAGGATCTGGAAGTAGGAAGTGGAAACTTCTGCAGATGATATTATACAGGTAGGGTTGAATATCGGGGAGGGGGCACCAATGGTAATGACAATTCATAGGGGCCTCAAGTGACAAAGAAATCCACAGCATTCTCATTTTGTTTTGTTTTTCTTTCCAATGGAACACCCCAAACCTCCAATGTTCACTACCCTCAGCTAATAGGTGCAAGGAATGGGATGGCGTCTAGGCTCAGAGGACAGTTCTCGATTGAGGATACTTGGAGCTAAGGGATATTTTTTTAGGCTGGAAAGCTGGACGATGGGATGTTAGTGGAAACATGGTCTGCTGTCTAGGGAGAGCCAATGGTTATATTGGGCTAAGTGGCCTAAGCTGCACCCCACTCAGTCTACAATCAACTGCCTTCGGGCAAAAGCTCCAAAAATATGTGTTTCAGCTTCCCCAGGGACCAAGGCATGGATTCAAGAAGAGCAGAGGTGGAGGTCCAGGTCTCAAATCTGGTGTGGGGAGTGCTGCTCCCAGTGTCGAGGAGCAGGTGAGTTGGTGACAGGTGGGATAATTTGCAAGGATGTCTGGATGGTGGGAGGTTTGGTAGAAGCCTGGTCTGGTGTCCAGGACCAGCCAATGGTTATATTGGGCTAAGTGAGCTAGGGTGCACACACTTAGTCTCTAATCAACTGGGTTGGGCCCTAGGATGGGACCTCCAAAGATATATGGATTAATTTCCCCAGGGACTAGGGCATGGATTCCAGAAGAGCAGAGGTGGAGTTTCAAGTGTCAAGTCTGGTATGGAGAGTGTCAGGGAAGAGCAGGTCAGTAGTAACAGGTAGATGGCGAGATGGTCTGGGTAGGCATTGGGAAGCAAGAGGTTTAGTAGAAGCCTGGTCTGGTGTCCAGGGCCAGCCAATGGTTATATTGTACTAAGTGGCCCAAGTTGCACCAATTCAATCTCCAATCAAGTGGGTTGGGTCCTAGGGTGGGACGTCCAAAGATGGATTAACTTCCCCAGGGACTGGGGCCTCGATATAAGAAGACCAAGTGTTGGGGTACAAGTCTGAAATATGGTGTGGAGAGTCCTTGCCCCAGTGGCGAAGAACAGGTGAGTCGTAACAGGTAGATGTTCAGATGGTTTGAGGTGAGTGGTAGGAGGTTCAGTAGTACCATAGTCTGGTGTCCAGGGCCAGCCAATGATTATATTGAGCTAAGTGGGCTAGGGTGCACACATTCAACTCAGTCTCCAATCAACTGTGCTGGGCCCTTGGATGGGACCTCCAAAGATGTATGGATTAACTTCCCCAGGAACTAGGGCATAGGCTCAAGAAGACCAGAGATGGAGGTTCAGCTGTCAAATCTGTTGTGGAGAGATCTGGTCCTAGTGGGGAAGAGCAGGTGAGTTGGTGACAGGTATAGATAGTGAGAAGGTCTGGGTGGATGGTGGGAGGTTTAGTGAGAGCATGTTTTAGTGTTCCGGGCCAGCCAATGGCCATGTTGGGCTAAGCAGGCTAGGTTGTACAAACTCAATCTCCAATCAACTGGGTTGGGTTCTAGGGTGATATCTATAAAGATATATGTATTAACTTCCCCAGGGCCTAGGGCTGGGATGCAAGAAGACCAGAGGTGGAGCTTCAGGTGTGGAGAGTGCTGGTCCCAGTGGGGAGGAACAGGTGAGTTGGTGACAGGTAAGATGGTGAAATGATCTGGGTGGATGTTTTTGGATGGTGGGAGATTTAGCAGAAGCATGGACTGGTGTCCAGGGCCAGCCAATGTTTATATTGGGCTAAGTGGGCTAAGTTGCACACACTCAATCTCCAATCATCTGGGTTGGGTCCTAGGGTGGGATCTATAAAGATGTCTAAATTAACTTCCCCAGGGACTGAAGCCTGGATACAAGAAGACCAGAGGTGGAGGTTCAGCTGTCAAGTCTGCTGCAGAGGGTATGGATCCTAGTGGGGAGGAGCAGGTGAGTGATGTCAGATAGGTGGTACAATGGTCTGCGTGAGTGGTGGGAGGTGGGAGGTTAAGTAGAAGCATGGTCTGGTGTCCAGGGCCAACCAGTAGTCATATTGGACTAAGTGGCCTAGGTCGTACACACTCAATCTCCAGTCAACTGAATTGGGCCCGAGGGTGGGACCTCCAAAGATGTGTGGATTGACTTCCCCAGGGACTGTGGCCTAGACACAAGAAGACCAGAGGTGGAAGTCCGGTTCTCAAGTCTGGTGTGGAGAGTGCTGGCCCCAGTGGGGAGGAGCAGGTGAGTGGTGGCAGGTGGGTGGTGAGATGGTCTAGGTGGATGTCTGGATGGTGGAGGTTTGGTGGAAGCCTGGTCTGGTGTCTAGGGCCATCTCATTGTTATAGTTGACTTTGCAGGCTAGTTTATACAGACCCAATCACCAAATAACTCAGCTGGGCTCTAGGGTGGGAGCTCCAAAAATAAGTGTCTTAACTTCCTCAGGGACTAGGGCCTTGGAAGACCAAGTGTGAAGTCCCAGATCTCAGGTCCAATGTGGAGAGTGCTGTGCCCTGTGGAGAGAAGCAAGTCAGTGACAGCAGACAGTAAGGTGGCCTGAGTGGGTGGTTCGATGGCTTAACAGGATTCACCATGGGATTCAAGAAGACCAGGATTGGGCATATCCTTGACCTTTCATGAGCTGCCAGAGGCCCCAGAAGGATGGTAGTGAGGGTGGAGAATGAGTGGGTCTCAGGTACAGATCCCTGGATTTCTTATTAATAGAAGGAGCTAGAGGACCAGCCCTTTCCAGATCTACAGACTGAAGATAAAGGTGAATTGATGACAGAGAAGGAATTGGCAGGCCCAGACAATATGGGGCAACCAGGAATACAAAGCTCCCAGGAAGTCCAAGGTCCTCAGATCATCTGGACGTCCCCCCAGAAAGCAGAGGAGGATTCTGAGCAGTTTGAGGACAACACCCCAGACCAAAGCTTCCAGTTGAGGTCAGAGGATGAGGAGGGATCCCCTCTGCGACTCACACCACTGACCATGGAGAGACCCTCATCAGATAGCTCCTATGCTCAGCCCAGCTCAACATTCATACAGCCTGAGGTGGGGTGAGTTTTCAGCCATCCTCTTTGCCAGCTCTGGGCCCTAGCTCACAGCCACCAGCATCACTCAATGGGCCCTGGGTCTGCAGAGGGGAAGGGTTACTCGGAAAAGAAGCCACCCAACCCAGCTCAGGAAGACCTAGGTCTCTCTAAAAGGGGGTTAGAAGAGGACTTAAAGCAACAATAGTAGTTCCCATTGATTTTTCAAACTGTTCTGTTGCTACCTTTTGCTTTTATATCAGCTGCATTCCCCAATGTATCCTTCTCTGCCCCTCTTCCCAGGAACCATCCCTTATAATAAATATAAAAACAAAAGAGAAAAACAGGCAGTTCAGCAAAACTAACTAATGCATCAGCCAAGTACAACAATGTACGCATTGTTCCCCACCCATAGTCCCCATTTCTGCAAAGATGAGGGAGTGGTTGCATTCTCATTTCTGAAAGCTCTCATTTACAGAGAATTTTCCATACATGAGGTAAGAATTATGGGGGAGGAAAGGAGGCAAAGCCAGGAAGTAACATCCCCAAGGTAACACAGCTAGTATATGTGACGATGAGCCCCTGGGATTTCTTAAATACAATTCTCCAGTCCACTATACCATCTAATAAGAGGCTTCAGGAAGAAAGCAGGGGAGGACAAAGGAAAGGAAGAATCATAGATCTCAGAGCTAGGAAGGGGCTAGGACACCATCAGCCACAGCCTGAAATCCAAATTCAACACGGGGTAGATAAAAGAGCACCAGAATTGTAGTTGGAGGCCTTAGTTTTGAATGTGAATCCTGCTCCTTCGTGGCTGTATGACCTTAATCAAATTCCTAGATCTCTCTGGGCTTTCGTTATCCCCTTCTGTGAACTGAGAGGGCTTGCCAGACAAGTAACATGAGAGGGCATCTCCCCCTTCTTTGCAGAAGTAAGGTCTGTGGAGGTGGAGCACAGCATATAACATAAGATTTCTTCCAATTTGTGGACTAGTTTTGCTGAAATTTTTCCCCTTTTTAATTCTTTGTTATAAGGGACAGCTCTCTGGGAGAAGAAGTGTTGGGGGGGGGACAATGGGAAAAGAATGTGATATAAAAACAAATGATAGCAATATAATTTATTTTTTAAATAAGTAAAATTCATTATAAAAATTCAGAAGGGTTGGTCTAGATTATCTCCAAGGTTCTTCCAGCTCTAAACACTGTGATGTTAATCCCACCTCCAACGCCCCTGACAAGCCTCCAGTTGTAACCTCCGAAGTGGTGAACTGATTGCCTACCACCAAGGCACACTGGAGTTTGGAATTTCCTCCTCCTACTGACCTTAGAAGGAAGACACCAAGCTGACATTGTCCCTTTGACCCCTCCTTGCTCAGGGAAGAGGCTCTTAAGGCCCAGTTGGTACAAAGCCCAGCAGTGCCCCTCATTTGTCATCCAGTGAAAATGGTCCCACCAGGGAAGGAGGACAGAGAGGAAAAGACTCCTTCTAAAAAATGGAAGGTAAAGGGGGAAGCTGGAAGTGGAAGGTTTGGGGTGGGATCCGGAGGGCTCTGTTAGGGAAGAGCAGGGGATGAGAGCTTGGGAGGTAGGGGCAGGCCTTTTTATATTCGTATATCTTGGGCTCAATTACACCCAAGGAACGGTTAGGGCAACCTCACTCAGCCACAGGATTAATGAAGTTAAACCCTAGAGGAGGCAGAACTAATTTCGAGGTTTTTAAAAGATCTGTATTTCCCTCTGAACTCTCCTGCCAGACTAGTGGGGGGGAAGGTCTGGATGTGGAGTCAGGAGATACAGGTTGGAATCCCAGCTCTGATATTTACTGTGTGGCCTGGAGCAGGTCTTCTGGGCCCTCTGGGCTCCAAAACTCTGTGTCCTAAGGCCTCTTTCAGCCATAACATTCTCTGTTCCAAAGTGCTGTTGGTCCTGAACATTGTGTTCCAAAGTCCCTTGTACCTTCAATCTATATTTTAAAGACCCTCTTAGCTTTGACACTCTATGATCTAAAAGTCCTCTCAGCTCTGACAATTTTTGTTCCAAGAACTCTCCAGCTCTGACATTCTGTGTTCTAAGGCCCCTTCCAGCTCTGACATTCTGTTTTCTAAGGGCCCTCCCAGCTCTGACTTTGTATGTTCTAAGGCCCCTTCCAGCTCTGACATTCTGTGTTCTAAGGCCCCTCCCAGCTCTGACATCCCATGCTCTAAGGCCCCTCCCAGCTCTGACATCCTGTGTTCTAAGGCCCCTCCCAGATCTGACATCCTGTGTTCTAAGGCCCCTCCCAGCTCTGACATCCTGTGCTCTAAAGTCCCTCCCAGCTCTGACATCCTGTGTTCTAAGGCCCCTCCCAGCTCTGACATCCTGTGTTCTAAGGCCCCTCCCAGATCTGACATCCTGTGTTCTAAGGCCCCTCCCAGATCCGACATCCTGTGTTCTAAGGGCCTGTCCAGCTTGGACATGCTCATCCAGGAGTCCCTAAACTGATGAAATCATGAGTCTAGTTCCTTTCCAGGGTCCATAGAGGGCAAGTGTGCTTACCCAATGTTGCAAGACTAATGAAGAGAGCCAGAATTTCAGCCCAGGTCTTCCGACTCAGGATCCATTTGTCCTGCTGAACACACCAGCTTAATCCTTGGTTTGGGGAGAATAGAAGAGTAATGTCAGGGAGAATGGGGATAGGTGAGGGGGGAAAGGGCAGCAGGAGTAGAGACTGGTTTGGGGGGAGCAAGGGGTTAAGGAGCTCAGAGAAGAAGGACATTGTCACAACTCTCAAGAAATGCTGTTCTGATCTCTGGAGGTCAGTGAGTCCTCGGGGAAAAGGGAGTGAAATGCCTTCTTGTAGGAAGAAGAAGAATACTGCATAGCGTGGCATCTGCGGGCCTGCGGCGCCACAACCTGGATGTCAGCTATGTCCCTGAACCTAGTGTCCAAGTCTGCCCAGGCCTCGTCCTCAGCACCGGTGCCAAGCAGCCCAGAAAAGAACTGGAAGAGGACAGAGCTGCATCGGAACTCGGACAGGTCAAACAAGACTCGGTAGGAAACCCTAGCTCGGGGCATCTTACACCTGCTCCACCTCCTGCTCCTCAGCCTCGGCTCTGCCAGGCCCACAGAACTGCCCTCAGCCCCTCCCCCACCTTAAGGGCTGCCTAAGGAGCTGGGGCTCTTCTTCCTCAGTCAGCCCACAGCCAGAGCAGACCAGACAGTCAAGTCTTGGAGATCTGGAGAATCCTGAGCATCATTGGTGCGAGCCTCCCTCTCTCTGCGTCTCTAGCTATCTGTTCCTTTCTTTCCCTTGGTCTCTCCCTCTCTCTTCTCTGGATCCCTTTATCTTCTTTTCCCCTAAGCAATATCGATCTATTTTCTGTTTCTCCTCGTTTTTCTTTTGCTGTGCACTCTATTTCCTCTCTTTCCTTACCCTCTCTCCCCTTTCTTTGTCTTTCCCTCTCTCTACTTTCCTCTGGCTCTTCTTCCCTCTGTTCCTTATTTTCTAGGTTTGTGTTTCAGTCTTTGTCTCTCCTTATCTAGCTCTTTCTTCCTCTGTCTTTGTCCCCTTTCTCTATCTTTCTTCTCCATCTCTCTCTCTCTCTCTCTTTTTGTCTCTTCCTCCTTATATCTGTTTCCATCTCACTTTGTCTCAAATTTCCTTTTTCTTCCTCTCTTCCTCTCCTTCCTTCTTTCCATTTTTCTCCCCTCCCCTTTGTCTCTCTCTCTCCATCTCCTCCTTCTTTGTGTTTTTCCTTCTCTCCCTCCTCTCTTTCTTCTTTTCTCCTCTTTTCTCTCTCTTTTTCTGTCCTCCAGTATTTCCCCTGTTCTCTTGTTTCTTCTATCTTCTCTCTTCTATTTTTCTGTCTTTCTCTTCTTTTTAAAAAATCTCCCTTCCCTCCTTTGTCTCTGGCTTTCCCTCCTCTCTTCTATCTCCCCCCCTCTATATCTCTCTCTCTTCTATCTCTATCCTTCTATCTTCCCTACCATTCCCAAATCTCTCTTTTCTTTTTTCTTTCTCCCTCTTCTCTATCTCTCCCAATCTCTCTCTGACACTCAGGAGCCCCAAAGGCCTGAGCCTGATTAGGTAGACAAGGTTTCTGTCTGGAGAGGAACCTGGACTTTTCTTTCTTCCTTTTTTTCCTTTCCACTTGACCTCCTTCCCCATGACTTCAATCCTTTCCCTTTCCCTCCCCACAGGCCTATGACTGCCTCATCAATAAGAAGGCTGGAGGGTGCAACCCAACCCCTCAGCTGCCACATCTACAGAAAGGACAGTGACTTGACCCCTATTGGCTCCAGCATCAAAGAGTGGAAGGAGGAGATTCTCACTCAGAAGCAAGAGGAAGGTGAGGGATTCAGGAGAGAGCTGGGGTTTGACTGGGGGTGAGGAGAAAGAGGATTTGATTCTGAGTCAAATCTGGACCTTCCCTCTGGCTTTGCTTCTCGTAACCTGTTGCCCATGGCACCCAGGAAAAGCTAAGTTACGGAATCATATGGACCAGGTCCAATTTGGAGGCTTATCAATTAGAATCACCATTGTAAAAATCACCAGTGTTCCTCTAGGAACTTTAGAATCTGCCTTATTTCTAGTTCTCTGGCAGTATTCATTCCACTGTAATTATCAAAATAGCAAGGTAAAGGAGCAGCTAGGCGGTACAGTGGGTATAGCACCGGCCCTGAAGTCGGGAGAACCTGAATTCAAATCTAGCTTCAGACATTTACTAGCCCAGACCCTGGGCAAGTCACTTAACCTAATTGCCTCCAAAAAAAAAATAGCAAAGGAACAGAGAATAGATTGATTAAGAGGAATGAAAAGGACAGGGAAGGAGACTTGTCCCTGAGCCTGAGTAACAAGGGCATAATTGCATTTCTTCCTTACCCCCAAGGGTCTATCCCAGTCACCATCAGCTCACAGAAATCCCAGCTACATGAGTGGGATCCTAGCTCTTGAGCCTCTCTCTCCATCACCTGTTTTCTGAAGATCTGCTCCTCCCTAGATTCGAGGTGTGCTGTGGCCTCTGTCACAGCTCCTGGCTGTCACTGAGGTTGCCTTTTGGCCACCACCACAGCCACTTTTCAACAAGGTCCTGGAGTTCCTTGACTCTCACCTGGCAGGAGCTGCCTCCATCCTCTGCTTCTTGTTCATGTCCCACATTACCACCATTCAGAAGTTCCTTCTTCTTCTTTTTTTTTGGTGAGGGCAATTAGGGGTTAAATGACTTGCCCAGAGTCAGACAGCTGGTGAGTGTTATGTGTCTGAGGCTGGATTTGAACTCAGGTCCTCCTGACTCCAGGGCTGGTGCTCTATCCACTGCACCACCTAGCTGCCCCCAAAAGTTCCTTCTTCCATCTTCCTCCTGGCTCTTCTTCTTCCAAGCAACTCCTGCTCTCAGAGTTTTGTATACACATGCATCTTGGACCCACAGCATTATGAGAGAGCAAGTCCTTTCTTAATAGTACATGTTTCCTTCATCTTCCACCCCAGTAAACAAATTGGCATCTCTGCAAATTGCAGCAGACATTTATGCTCGGTCTGTAGATATTATTATATAACATCCATACATACCTAGTAGAGGTCCATGCAAAGCAGATGCAACTTACAATACGAGATTACATAATAGAATTACATGAAAAGTATGCCTAACATTCTGGGTGCTGTCCTTCCCTAATATGACCCCGTACCCACATATACTACTGAGTTTCCTGAGTGACATCCTGATCTATGTATCTTAGGGTATTATAGATCAGTTGGCTATTGGCCAAGTAATCTGGATGTTTCTGTGGTGAACCGATGACTTGTCTTCAGTATTTATCTTTTCATAATCTGTATGTAACCTGGTGTCCTCAGGCTCATTGGCCTGAGAGTCCCAATTCTGGACCCACGTGCAGTCTAGACCAAGTCAAGTCAAGTCAACAAGTATTCATTAAGCTTCTACTATATACCAGACACCACGCTAAGTGCTAGGGATACAAAATGGCAAAAGACAGTCCCCATTCTCAAGGGGCTTACATTCTAATGGGGGCGATAACATGTAAACAACTATGATATAAATAAGATGAATTAGAAATAACAGAGGGAAGGCTCTAGAATTAAGAGGGATTGGGAAAGGCTTCTTGTTGGAGGTAGGATTTTAGCTAGGCTAATAAGAGCTATCTCTTGCCCCCAAGATCAGTCTCTATAAGTGATGCTTATTTCCTTAATAAAGGAGTAGGATGCAAAAGAAGATGTGGTCTCTGAAAGCAAGTCCTTGCCCCTTGGCAAAGAATCCCCCTTTGGGTAAGGAAGAGTTGGTATCACTGCCCAATGCCCAAAGTAATACCAAAGCCTTCCTTCCATTTCCATTCGAATTTTGACCCAGATCTTCCATTTTGGGGGTCATCATCTGGGGTTAGCTATCCATCTGCAGCTGATGAATAGCCCCCCCCTTGGGAGTGCCAGTTCCTTGACTCTCCTAGATTCTCTTTGTCAAGGATTCTGAAGAACTCTCTTATAAGAGACAAAAGGTTAGGATAGATTGCCTTTTGGGGGCCACATGCAGACCTCTGGAGCTGTTCTGTAACCTGGCAAACTGTTTAGTCTTCCTACTACTTGCTGCGCGGTGGGTCTACTGGTCTACTAGCTTGTGTTCTCCTGGGACGGCAAGGTTTGGTAACAGGATTTATGCCTTCGTTGGAGTTCTTGACTATATATTGAAGCACTGTACTCTATTGCTTGTTCTTTCTGAACTCTTGGGAACCAAGGCCATAGTTAGAATGTAGCTTTCCTGCAGTTTGGTCTCCCTGTCAAATGACATATTATTGGTTTCTCTGCCACTTTCCCATCTTCTCAGACTACGAAGTACAAATCAGTAGAAAGCCATGACTCTTGCACCGTCAACCATACGATCATCAGTTTCAAGCTGGAAGGACTCCTAGAGGCCACCTGCATTTTATTTATTTTTTTAAATTTTCACATTAGTCATGTTGTAAGGAAGAATTAGAACCAATAGGCACCTTCATTTGAAAGATGAAGGAACAGTATGGGAAAAGTTATGTGACTTGCCCAGGTTCACATAGCTGGTAAAGGTCTGAGGAGGATCTGAACCTAGATCTTTCTAATTCCAAGGCCAGTATCCTGTCAGTTATATCAGAACGATAGGTATGGAGCAAGCCTATGGCACTTCTTCCGGTGACACTATATGTGCATACTGGTCTAAATCTTTTGCCTAAATCTAAATCTCAGTGCCCCTGGAATGTTCAGCAAGGCTAAATTGGCTCCAGATTTCCTATGACAGTTCAGACGACATTTGAAATACTACATTCATTTCTGGATGCCACGTTTTAGGAAGGACACTGCCAGCAATGTTTAGCCTTAAAAAGATATGACTCAGTGAGAACATGATATCTGTCTTCAAGTACTTAAAAGGCTGTCCTAGGGGCAGCTAGGTGGCGCAATGGATAGACAACCCGCCATAAAGTCAGGAGAACCTGAGTTCAAATCTGGACTCAGACCAAACACTTGACACTTACTAGCTGTGTGACCCTGGACAAGTCACTTAACCCCAATTGCCTTTAAAAAAAACTGTCCTAGAGGAAAAAGAATTAGTTTGATGCTTAATACCAGGAAAAACTTACTGTTGTTAGAACTTTTATGTCCCAAAGTAGAGTGGGCTGCCTCAAGAGGGAGTGAGCTCCCCGTCAGTGGTGGTGTCCCAGCTGAGGTTGGACGATGGTTTTTTAGGTATCGTTTCACTCTGGATAGGATGTGAAGGCTGTTAAGGTATCTTTTAGCTCACAGATTCTGGGATGGGATGACCTACAAGAATAGTAGCTACAATTCACTGTCCCTCCCCCCGCATGCCTGGGGTACACTCTCCCACAACAGGACACAGTTGGGATCCTAATTCTGCTCCCCTCCCTCATAATTTCAGACTCCCTGTACATTTTCAGAGTGGGCTGGGGAGCAGGCTTCTCATGAAGTGACTTTTCCAACGGGGTGAGTGGCTCTGCTGTGGGGGAACTCCTCTCTCAAGGGGTGAGGAATAATTCCTTCCCAAGAGCTGGACTCTTCTTCCATAGAAAGCTCTCTTCTTGGAGCTCACACTCCTCAGGGTTATCTCCTGCCTCAACTGTCTCCCTAGAGACTATGCATGTCCTGCTTTTAAAGGCTACACCAGGTGTATGGCTGGTCCTTGGGCCATCCTGTGATTCCATCACAGCCAATGAAATCGCTTCTTCACTCTTCTGAAAGGACTAACAAAGTATAAACACTTAAAAGCTCAACACTTTTGTTTTCCCTGTCATATGCCCCTTGCAATCGATAATTTTGTTAACATTCCATTGTCTCTGTTAATCAATTAATTAACATTTATTAAGCACCTACTTTGTGCCAGGCACTGTGCTTAAGCGCTGGGCACACAAAAAAAGAGGCACAAAACCCAAAACAAAACAAAAAGCAAACAACCCAACAACCCAGCCCCTGCCCTCAAGGAGCTTATATTTTAATGAGGGAAGAAAACAGGCAAACAAACAAACACGAGCAGAGCAAGCTATGTACGGGATAAATAGGAAATAATTAACAGAGGGAAGTCACTCGAATAAAGAACTGTTGGGGAAGATGGGATTTTATTTGGGATTTAAAGGAAAGGGGTTGTCAGCATGGGAATACTGTTACTTACTCTTTAAGGTTCTATATTTTCATCAAATGGGCTGGAGGGCATTCAGTTGACCAGAGCTTCCTGATCAACTTTGCTTTTCCCTAAACCCTGCCCCCTCCCCCACCAAAAAAAACCCAACACATAAGATTTCACCTGACTTTCCTGGCTTTGGAGTTAGAGTTCCTGGGTCTGACTTTGTAACTGAATTTATAACAGGTCCTACCTTTGTAACTATGGACAACTCATTTTCTCTCTTCCATCTATAAAATGAGACAATTAGACCAGATGATCTCTAAGATTCCCTCCAGCTCTGAATCTCTGATCCCATGATCTTAGATCACTTTGATTCTCTGGGTCTCTGTTTTTCCATTTGTAAAATGGGGGAAAGAAAACTTGCAACATCGACCTCAAAGGACTGTTATGAGGAATGTGCTTTAAAAAAATGTTATGGGGGCGGCTAGGTGGCACAGCGGATAGAGCACTGGCCCTGGATTCAGGAGGACCTGAGTTCAAATTCGGCCTCAGACACATAACACATAAACAGACACATAAACCTGTATGGCCCTGGGCAAGTTACTTAACCCCCATTGCCCAACCAAAAAAAAAATAATAATATAAACAAAAATTTATAGAAAAATGTTATTATGATTCCAGTCCTAAATTGTATGAGCTCATAATCCTTTCTATACCATAATCACTATCCTTACTTTCCACTTCTACCTTACTGCCCCCTCCTCATGGTCACAAATTGGCAAAAAAAAAAAAAAGATCTAGGTACTGAAAGACATCAAGGATATCTTCTTGTAGCACTTTGCATCTTCTCTCTTGAGTTTATCTATAAGACCCACATTATCATATTATTATTATGTATTATATTATTATATTATAATGTTATGTTATAATATATTATACTATTTTATACTATATTATTATACTATATTAGTATCCTATAATATATTATAAACGCATAGCACCCAGGTTTCCCCTTATGTGGGCCTCTCCCCAAAAAATATCCCATATTTGAGGCACTTTGTGGGTCAGTATCTGCTCAAAAGCATAGCTGATGAGCCCCCATTGATATGTTTTCATTCACTAGCCCAACCAGAATACATATTAATTCAAAATGAAAGATGTGTAATTTAACAGTGAAAATAAGTGGAAAGAAAAATTTCCCCACATCATCATACACATAGAGGAACGCTCTTCCTTTGATTACTTGACCATCAGTGAAGGGGAGGGAATATATATGGCCAGGGAACATGCAGGGAAGAGCATATACGTAAGGATTATATTTGGCCAGGGAAACATATGTGAAGGAAAACACAAACAGCAGAAGGAATTCACTCCTCTAATGCTATGGAGCTGCCAAGGACCCTCTGGTGACACAGTTATGTCGTCCTCTATATGGTATCTCCACTCTGCTGAGCATCTATTTTGAGCTGTTGTTGCTCTCTGGTGCCATCTGTTGGTCTTTAGCTGCAAAGCATCTTCTCCTTGGAGGGGATCTACCGACTTTTTAGCGTATAGCCCCAGTTTACAGGTTAGTTCCTTTGTGATGCAGACCCCAGGCAGCTAGCTATAGAGAAGTAGTAATGCTTTGTAAGCAAGTCTTTTTAAATCCTTTTCTCCTGACGCCCCTTTTCAGGCTCTTTTCAGTCTAAACTTTTATTTGACTTGAGTAAGAAAATTCCTTTTGGCTCCCATAATGCCTATTGTGGTCCATACATATCACAGGGGCTGAATGAAGAAAATTAAGGATTCTTAACATTTGTCTTACTTTCCTTCAGCAACCCATTCTCTTCACTATCGACACATGATAGTTGTGTTTGTGTCTTCTGGACTGTAAGCTTCACCAGGCAGAGACTATGGTTTTTATTTAAATTTTTTCTTTCTTAGTAACAAGCATAGTATTGTACATAGCGCGAATTGGGTTGAAGTGTTCCTTCTGAAGGGATAGATGGGGTGGAGAGGGACAGAAAGATCGGGGGAGATGCCATTCTTCTCTGTTTTTTTGGGGGGGGTCACTCAACCAGCATTTGTTTATTTATTCTTAATCTGTCTCTCCCACTAAGCACCCCCTCCAATTACACAAACTTAAAAAAAAAACCAACCAACAACAAAAACAAAATTCTAAAAAATAAAGTCTTTAATCTATAACTTCATAGTTCAGGAAAACAAATTCCCTTATTGGCCAGGCCTGAAAATGAATGTCTGCCCCTGTAGTTCAAGTTCATCAAGTCTCTGAGTCAGCGGGTTGTGCAATGGAATGAGATAATATTTGTAAAAAGCATTTAGCACAGTGCCTGGCATATAGTAGGCACTATATAAACACTTTTCCTTTCCTTTCCTCTCTCTACCTCAAAAGGCAAGTGGTGTGTTTCATCTTTGTTTCAAAAGAAATGAAAAAGAAATGAAAAAAAGTGAAAAAAAGAAATGAATCCAAAAGACTCATGTTTCATCATTGCATTGACAAGAGTTCTAAAGGCTTTCAAAGCTGTTTTTCTCTACGCTGTTATTATCATTGTATATGTTGTCCTCCTAGTTTTTCTTACTTTGCTCCATAACAGGTCTTCTTCGTGTCCTCTGAAAACTGTTCATTTTATCATTTCTTGTGGAACAAAAATATCGCACTACATTCAAATATCACATTTGGTTTAGACATCCCTCAATAGGAGGACATCCCCTTAGTTTCCAATTTTGGGCTATCTTAAAAAGGCCTGTTGTAAGTATTTTTGTACCTATAGGCTCTTTTCCTCTTTCTTTGACTTTTTTTGGGATATAGGCCTAGTACACACATACACACACACACACACACACCACACACATACATATATGGAGAGAGAGAGAAAGAGAGAGAGAGAGAGAGAGAGAGAGAGAGAGAGAGAGAGAGAGAGAGAGAGCAAGTGTTGGGTCAGAGGGTACAAGAGTTTAGTAACAAAAAGTTTTCCTGAATGGCTGGACCATATACAAGTGTATCTGTTTTCCTGAAGCCCCTCTGACATTTTTTTTTCCCTCTTTCATCATCTTTGCCAGTCTGATGTATGGGTGTGAGGCAGAACTTTGAAGTTGCTTTCATTTGCATATCTATCATTATCAGTGATTTAGGGTATTTTTTCATTTTGTTGCTGATAGCTTGGATTACTTCCTTTGTCCTCTGAAATCCCTCTGTCCTTATCCTTTTGACCTTTGTTCATATCCATTGGGGGAATGGCTCTCATTATTTCCTAAGTCAGCTCCCTCCATCAACTTACCCCATCTTCCCCATAGCTTTTAGAGAATATTTCAAGTTTTTCTGTGGTCCTGGAGAAATTGACATCCACAGCCTGAAGAGCATCCTATCAATAGTGGGGATACCCCAGACCCAGGCTGAGATGACTGCTGCCCTGATAAGTGCTGATGTGAATGGTAAGCAAACACTGAAGGGACCCCATCACCCTTTCCCAAGGATCCTGGCTTCCTCTCCGTTCCCCTGACAACTCCCTCCCCAAACCTCTGTCTATTTTTGGATTGACACTGTGGTGAAAAGGGCCCTTCACTGGAAGTCATTAGACCTTAGTTTTAGATCTGGCCCTGGCACTCACTCGCTTAGGATAAATTAGTGTGGAACCTTACTTAGCCAATTCATCTCATCACTCCTGGCCTCAGTTTCCTCATTTGTCAAACGAGGATTACAATGCCTGCCTAGCCCAGCTTAGACATTCACCAACTTTTCTAAATGAGTATCATAGAATCATAGAATTCAGATCTGGAAGGAATGCGTTATCAACCAATCCCTTCATTGTAGAAAAAAGTAAACAGACCCCAAGACAATGCCCCATTGGCTGGTCTCCAGCTTAGCTGGTAGGAAACCACTGTCTTGTGCATGCCTGAGCAAAGGAACTGGGTGGCATCGTCCCTCATCAGGACCCAATTTTTAAAATGCCTTGAAGCATCAAACTACATCAAGTGACTTGGCTTTTTTTTTTAATTCAAAGAAAATAGAGATAGAATGATGAAAATTTTGATGCAGAAAAATTTGAGTTCCAGCCCTGCAGAAGGAAAGGGAAGCAAAAGAAGGGGAGATATTGGGGTAGAAAACGGAGGAGGGTGGGGTTTCTGCCTTCAGAGAGCTCTCCATCTTAGAGGAAAGACCAAGTTGATGTTCAGTGTACAAAAACATGTTGGATTTAGAGTCAAGGGAGCTGAGTTCAAATCCTGGCCCTTCCACTTACTTACAAGATCACTTGAGTGACCCTGAGTGAGCAGCTTACATGTGTGGGCCCCATTTAGACTGCACGCTGGGATCTCGGTACAATCTCTAAAATGACAGAGTTGGTCCAAGATGAACTCTAAGCTTAAAACCCATGATCCTGTGTTCCCTGAGTGAGTCCCCATTGTGATGGTTGACACACAATCTCTTCATTTAATCTACCTCCTAGTCTGACCAGGACACACACAGTGTCCCCATCCTGAGGAACTTTCCATTCTGGTAGGAAGGCATAGTCCTTAACCTCAGGAAGCTCTAATTAGGTGGGGAAGGGGAGTAGCACAAATTCAGTAAGTCTCATTCATTCACTCACTCAACAAGCATTTATTAAGTGACTACTAATTACAGAGAACTGTTAAAAAGTAGAGAAGGCAAAAATAAAGTTTAGTTAAGACATGACCTTTCCCTTTATGGACCTAGGAGAGGAAATGGATAGGATTTAACCATGCTTTGAAAATAACCCATTTCAGAGATAATCAAGTGGGCAACTGGGAGGAGCCCCCAGGGGTGGGAGCTGGGACAGAGGCTTTTGTGTGAGCCTTGGGATGTTTCTGCAGGTGATGGACGCATGGATTTCAGGGACTTCCTGTCTGTCCTGACAGATACCCATTGGTTCTATCGATCTGTGGGTGAGAAGGGGCCCCTGTAGGTGAGGTCAGGGTTGGGGATAAGCCGAGTGAGCAGAAGGTTAGGGTGCTGTACAGAAGGCCCAAGGCCTGCAGAACTGGTGACCTGCCAGGGCCCTCCTATCCCACCAACCTTGTCACCAACATAGGATATAGGGGCCAGAGGAGGATTCATTCATACATTCATCCATGCAACTAACATTTATTAAGGTCCCACTGTGTACAGAGCACTGTGCTAGGCTTAAGAAGAGTGAAAGTTTAGATATAGAGTCAGGGTAGGGATGGGATAATACCCCATGCCTGTAGTTAAGGATAATACACAATTAAATGATAAAACCTAAGAAAATTACAGCTAATAAGTTGATGATGCCTTCCACTTTTCCCCAGAACAGAACAATAGCCCTTTGTCAAATATCCGAAATCCTCATACTCTTTGAAATTCTGTCCCAGTTGATAGAGATGCTAGCTTTGCCTGAAGCCTCCCTGGAAGAGATTACCAAGTGAGCCTTGGGGCAGGGAGAATGAGTGGGAGAGGGAGGGATTTGGGTGATGAAAGAAAGAGCCCTGTGCTGGGAGAGAGAAGACCTGGCTTCAGGTCCTGGCTCTATCTCTCATTACCTCCTGAACCTTAGAAAATCCACTAATCACTACTGAGTCAGAGGGTTTTTTTGTTTTTTGTTTTCTGTAAAATGGGATTAATAATCCTTGCCCTGCCTCCTTTACAGGATAGTGATAAGGATTCAGATGAAATAATAGAAATAAAAGGGTTTTGTAAAGCATAATACAAATAGAAAGCATGGTGCAATATATTTTTATGTTAGGAAAACCTGAGTTCAAATCCATCTCCTGACATTTACCCACTATGTGACCTTAGCCAATCATTCCACTTTTATGTGCTTCAAGCATATGCCCAGGATTCATCTAGTAAGTCAGATGAATTTTATATCTTTATCTCTATCCTTCTATAGCTCTCTTTTATCTCTTTCTGTCACTATATTTCTCTCTCTCCATCTCTTTCTATCTCTATATATCTCTCTATACTTATATAACTTTATATCTATATATCTATATATCTATATTTATCTATAGCTAGCTCTTTCTGTATCTATGTATCTCTATCCTTATACATTTCTCTCTCTCCCTATATATATATATATATATATATATATATATATACTATTTCTATATCCATCTCTTTATATATTTCTCTATCGCTATCTCTTTATAGCTATCTCTCTTTTTATATCTCTCTATATACTTACATATCTATATCTATTTCCATCTCTCTATTTCTATATCTCCTTATCTTTTGCTTTTGCTATATTTCTTTATCTCTTTTTGTCTCTATATCTATGTAAATCTTTATATATCCATCTCTACATCTATCTAAATCTATTTCTACATCCATCTCTCTTAACTCTTTCTATCTCTAGATCTCTCTTTCTATCTCTGTCTCTCGCTAGCTCTTTCTATCTCTTTATATCTAACTCTATCTTCAAATATCAATTCCTATTTCTATATCTCTACCTCCAACCCTCTAAATCTATCTCTTTCTCTCTACTGTCTCTAAGTATCTATCTCTCTAGCTTTATCTCCCTCTCTCTCTACCTATGTATGTATATACATCTAAAACCACAGGAACAGCCCTCTATTTGCTTTGTCAAAATTCCTCTCAGTATAAAATGTGGAATATGGGCAGCATGGTACAATGGATAGATGTCTGGCTTCAGAATCACTAAGATTTGGGTTCAAATCCTGTCTGTGAGCACATGATTCAGCTCCTGAATGGACCCAGGTAACCTACACATCTAAGATGATAAGTTACAGATGACTTGCAGACCTGCTCAGGAAAGGGAGTTCTTGTGCCAGGAATTCCCTACACCAATGAAACTTGGAACAGAGCAATGGAGTGGAGGCAGCCAGATGGTAGTGTGACTACACCACTGGCTTAGTATCAGAAAGATCTGAGTTCAAATCTCACCTGGGACACTTACTAGCTGTGTGACTCTGGGCAAGCCACCTCACCTCTATTTGCCTCAGTTCCCTCATCTGTAAACTGAGGAGGTTAGACTTGGTCTCTAAATTGATCTGGATCTAAATACATCCTCATCTAAGAATCTGAAATCTCCAGCCCAAGACCTGGACAGCTTTGTTTAGCAGTAACCATGGGATGTTGAGCACGGCTCAGAGACGGTTTCTTCTTCTGGGGCATGGGTAAAATAATATTTGCATTACTTGCCCTGTAGGTCTGTTGTGAGGAAAGTGTTTTCTCTATAAACCTTAAAGCTCTGTAAAAATAACAAGAGGCCCAGGCTCACTGATTCCTGGACTTAACAGCACCAGTCCCTTTCCTGCCCTAGTCAGTGGGCCCTTATGCATGCCCAGAATTCACATCATGGAAATTTACCAGTTGCCTTGGGGCCCAGGGCTAAATGGGGGTCTCTGATTCCCCAGTTATTATCAAAAGAAGACGAAATGCATGTCAAAGGATAAGGATCATGCTGTTAACACTGCCCGACAACCTCATTCCCACAAGAGAACCTTCTCCCGAACCTCGGACATCGGTCCACAAGAGCAAAAGGTCTTGAACATCGTGGACCGGATCAAGCAGCAAAACCGCTGTGAGCCCCCCTGCTCCCCACCTTCCCTCCTCACCAGGGTGGGGAGGCCAGCAGCCCAGGGAGACACTCCCTCTGCTCATCGGGTCAGGAGCCCAAGCTGTTCCATTCTCCCCCCAAGCAGGGCCGAGACACACCAGTTTGTGGGGTGAGGCCTTCACCAGGGAATCTTCCCTGTCCCCTGGACTAGGAGTCAGGAAATTTGGGTTCTACTTCAGGTTCTGCCACCAACTAGCTGTGTGAGTTTAGGAGAATCATTCCATCCTGTAATGCCCCCACCCTCCACCCTACACTCAATAGGCTTCAGTTTCCTCAACTATAAAATGAGAGATTTATATCAGCTGATCAGTGAGATACCTCCCAGCTCTGACATTCTGTGTTCTAAGGGCCCTCCCAGCTCTGACATTCTGTGTTCTAAGGGCCCTCCCAGCTCTGACATTCTGTGTTCTAAGGGCCCTCCCAGCTCTGACATTCTGTGTTCTAAGGGCCCTCCCAGCTCTGACATTCTGTGTTCTAAGAGCCCCCCAGCTCTGACATTCTGTGTTCTGAGGCCCCTCCCAGCTGACATTCTATGTTCTAAGGCTCCTCCTAGCTCTAACATTTTCTGTTCTAAGTGCTCTCCCAGTTCTGATATTTTGTGTTCTGAGGCCTCCCAGCTCTGACATTCTGTGTTCTAAGGGACCTCCCAGCTCTGCCATTCTCTGTTCTAAGGCCTCCTTCCAGAGCTAATACTCATTCTGTGATCTAAGGTTTATTTTTGTTCTTTCTATACTCTAAGTTTCCTTCCATTTTAATTAAATCCAATCTACTAAACATTAGGTACTCATTATGTGTGAAACACTATGGTAGTTTGCTGGGCATACAAAGATAAAAATGAGATTATTCTTATTCTCAGGAAGCTCATATTACATTGGGGGGATGACAATATGCACAAAGATAAGTAAATAGGAAGAAAATTGGGAGTGGTGTAGGGAAGTACAAAGAGGGAAGGGAGGGGAGACAGTGAAAGAGAGCAAGAGAGAAAGAGTGGGAGAGATAGATAGAGACAGAGATGGGAGGGTTGGGGTGGGGCCGAGGGAGCACACATTGTCTGCTACTGAACCAGGGCATCCTAGAGGAAGTGGCAATTAAGCTGAGGCTGAAGGAAGATGTGGAAGGCAGTGGTGAGAAGGTTGTGCATTCCAGGCACCAGGGAAGATCTGTACAAAGACAGAGATCAGACGGGGCACGCTGAGCCATCCAGCTGGACCGCAATGTAATGTTGAGACAGGTGTTTTATGAAATGAGGCTGGAAAGACACATTGGAGTCAGATGGTGGGGAGCCTAAAATGCCAGGCTGGGCTGTTTGTATTAGGGAACCCCTGAAGGTTTCTGAGTAGGAGACTTAAGCAAATTAGACACGGCTGGGCCTGTGTTCTAGGAAGATTCTATTGGCAGTCACATGGAGGATGGACTGGAGAGGGGAAAAGACAGGAGACAGGAGACCAACTAGGAAGGCAGTGCAGCAACCCAGGCAAGAGGTGAGGGAGGTATGAAAAACAGCACCTGGCACACAGAAGGAGCTTAATAAATGCTTGTGGACTGCTTGATGACTATGTAAATGCAAGAGATAGTGTAGATCGAAGATTGACAAGACATGGCAATTCATTTCATGGGGGGAGTAAGGGAAAAGGTGAAGTCCAGAATGACTCCAAGGTTATGCCCCTGGATGACTGAGAAGATGGTGGTGCTCTCAGCAGAAACGGGGAAGTTGGGGGGAGGGGGAGTTTAATGAAAAGGACATCTCCATTTTGGACCTGCTGAGTATGAGAGGCTCCCTCCCGGTGGAGCTGTCCAACAGTCAGCAAGTCATGGGCATCTAGATCTTCACTAACCTACAGGAGCTGAGAAAGCATGCAAAGAAAGGAAAGAAGGGGGCCTGGACAAAACCTAGGGGAACACCCACAGTCAGGAGGACAGGAAAGAGGCCATGGGTGATCCAGCAAAGGAGCTGAAGACCTTGAAACTCACTGCTCTTCTAAGACTAAGACTTACCTGTGTGACCTTGGGAAACTCACAGGATCTCTCTATGAGCCCCTTTTGTGCTCTATACAATGACTAGATTCTGTAAGTCTGTGCTCCTGTGATACCGAAGAGTGCTCAGACACTTAGGGGATCATCTAGGGGAGAGGAGAACAGAGGAGAAGAAAGTCTCCAGGAGGGATATCTAGGCAATGTAAAAACAAAAGATCTGAGGGGGCAGCTAGATGGCTCAGTGGATAGAGCACCGGCCCTGAAGTCAGGAGGACCTGAGTTCAAATCCAGCCTCAGACTAAATGCTTGACACTTATTAGCTGTGTGACCCTGGGCAAGTCACTTAACCCCAATTGCCTAAAAAAAAAAATTTAAATTAAAAAAAAAAGATCCAAGGGGCAGCTAGATGGCACAGTAGATAAAGCTCCGGCCTTGGAGTCAGGAGAACCTGAGTTCAGATCTGGCCTTGCCACTTATTAGCTTGTGTGACCCTGTGAGCTACTTAACCCTATTGCCTAGCCAAAAAAAAAAAAAGAGGGCTGAGAACAGGGCACTGGGTTTGGCAGGTGAGAGAATGTTGGGAACCTTGGAGAGACCATTTTCAGCAGAGGGCTGGTAGGTGGAAAGTGGGAAGCCAGGTTACAAGGAGGCAAAGAATGAATAAGCAATGAGAAAGTAATGGCGGTGGATGTGGACTGGAGGAACTTGGCAATTAGAGGCAGAGAACAAACTGGGAAAGATATGGGCTGATCGCTTGAGAGGAATGTGGAATCAAGTGAAGGTTTGTTGTTAGGTTTGTTTTTTTAGGTGCTCCTATCTTTTTGTTTTCACATTGTCTAGATTTTCCTATGTGCCTCCTCTTCTCCCCTCCTAGAGAGTCATCTCTTAAGATGAATAATTTTTAAAAGAAAAAAAAGAAAAAAACTTAAAACAAATTTTTTAAAGGATAAAGGAGACTCAGTAGATAGGGAGAGATTAAGACTGAAAGAAAAAGGAGTGATCTCGGGAAGAGACTCTCTGCAGACACTGACCTCAAGTAGTGGGATTGGTTTTAGCAGGAAGAGACCACTTCTCTTCCTCTGAGAGGACAGCAAAGGAGTCAGGAGCCGGGAAGACGTGGAGGTAGCTTCCAGTATGTGTGTGAGTGAGTGGGAGAGGGGGAGAGATCGCAGGTCCACAGCTGGAAGGGACTTCAAAGACCACCTAGTCCGACCTCATTTTGCAGATGAGGAAACTGGGAGGTTCTGTATTTTGACTAAGATCAGATAGTCAACAAGGATTTATTAAACTGTGGCAAACCCTGGGAAAGGTGGCTAGTGGTGTTTCATCCTCCAGAGAGAATCTAGTGTCTTTAAAGTGTCAGATGATAGAAAGAGAGTGAGATGAAGATATCTGGGAGGAAGGAGTTTGCTCACGAAAGAGAATGAAGGGTTCTAGTGAGCCGAGTGGAGGTTCTAGCACTGACTTTCTATGTTCTAGAGTACCTCCCAGCTTTGAGAGTCCATGTTCTAAGGGTCCTTCCAGCTCTGTTATGCTATGTTCTAAGGGCCTCTCAGATGTGACATTCCATGCTCTGAAGTCCCTCCCAAAGATGACGATCCATTTCAGCTCTGATATACTACGCCTTCAGATCCACCTCGGCTCTGATATTCCACATTCTCAGTCCCTTCCAACTTTGACACATTATCATCTGCTTTATTTGAGGTTCTAAGCTTCCTCTTGCCCTTGGGTGGAGATGTGAGGCCAGTGGGGTCTCTGTAGCCCCATGGGAGGAGGAAGAACTCCCAGGGACTCTCTGCATTAGGCGCCCCACTTGCTTCAAGAGGAGGAAGTGTTGAGCACAAGGGACAATTTGGGTTCAGGGCCAGATAACCAGCTACCTCTACAGTGGCTTTCTCCCTCTCTACCAGCTGCCTTCCTGCAGAGTCCTTACGTACCCCAGGCAACCAGCTATCTGCTGTGCCCCCCGCTAGACAAGAAGGCAACCCGTCGGAGGCAGGGGTCTCATGTCGTTTTGGAAGAGTATAAGCCCATTGACCTGACCACTGACTTCAGGACCTTCTTTCAGATGGGACCCAAGGGAGGCAGGTGGGCCTAAATGTCAGGCACTCCTTATCTCCCCCTGGTCCTGGAAGATTAGGAGCTGGAGCCTAGCTTCTCAGGAAGGGGGCCCAGTGATGGGGCCCTGGATGGGCAACTCTCTTCAAGTCCCTGCCCTTGCCTCCTAACCTTGCATCTGAGATTGAATTAACTCTTCTCCAAATGACCAGCTCTGCTTCTTCCTATTCTTTTTTTCACTCTCCCTCCAGAGAATACTGGTCCCCCTTCCTTCCCTGCCCCACCCATTCGCCTTTCTCTACAGGGAGCTCAACCCCACTCTGTAAGTGGCTTGCCTCAATGCACACATGACAAGAGCTGCAGGGAGTCCATGGCACCCTTCCACCCCTTTGACTGAGGCTCTTCCCAGCCCTGGGGACCTCAATATCAGGTGCTCTTTGGTGCCAATCTACCTGTTCAGCCCACCCGGCCAATAAACAGAACCGTGCTGATCCTCATCTCCTGGTTGCCAGTGGGTAGGGTCTTTGTGTCCACCATCAGACAGGGGGCTTCCTGAGGATAGTGACTACCTCCCCTTCTCAGACTGAAATATCCCTGAGGGCAGGGAACTGACTTTCCATTAGATTTGAGGCCTCCTAATGGTGAGACCCAACAAAAGGGTCCTCCTCCTGAGGAATTCAGTCCAAGCAGCTGCTTCAGCAATAGGGCGTCCAGTGCGGCCCCCAGCAGCTTCTGCCTCTCTTCTTCCTGGGCTGGTGCATCCCTCCCCTATAACCCACTGCCACCACCAATCCCCAGTTAGGCCTGGGCAAAGAAAGGTTCCCCTGGGAGCTGGAGCCCTGGGAGCCACCTCTAGACAGTCTTCACTCGGGATCCCAAGGGACAGCACTAGCTCCCTAGCCTCTTACTGTAGACCACCTCTGTCCCTCCTAAATGCTCCACCATCCACATCTACCACCTTGACTTCGCAATAACTAGACTATTTGTTTTTCTTTTCCAGAGGGGAGGGGGCAGTTAATGATAATTATTACTAATGATAATAACAGTTTCCATTTCTATAGAACTTGAAGCTGGTGAAAGGACTTAAGTTCAAACCTTATGAGGACTGTCTGGAGGAAAAGGGTGGATGGGGGTGGGAAGAGAGGGTGTGTGTTTAGCCTGAAAAAGAAAAACCCAAGGAAGGGGTGTGTGGGGCGGGGTGGGGGGTGTCAGTGGATAGAGTACTGGAAAACCTGAGTTCAAATTCTGCCTTAGGCACTTGCTGTATGACTCTGGGCAAGTCACTTCACCTCTATCCTGCCTCAGGTTCCACAACTGTAAAATGGGGACAATAATAGCACCTCCCTCCCAGGGTTGCTTCAAGGATCAACTGGGATAATTGTAAAGCACTTAGCATGGTGCCTGGCACACAGCAGGTGCTTAATAAATGCTTATTCCCTTCCCCTTCTCCTGCTGGGCCCTAGAGGGCAGGCCTAGTTGAATAGGGTGTTACTTGAGAAGAAGCAGATTTAAGGCCTGACTTAAGGAAGAACTCAGTAGTCAATAGCTCTGCCTAAAAATACTTCCTGCCTCAGGGAGTAGTGTGATTTGAACCCAGGTCCTCCCACCCTAAATCCAGTTTTCCTTCCTCTACCCCACAGTGTTCCCTGAGTCATAGCCAAGTTGGTTTGGAGTCATTTACACTCCAACCCACAGCTAGGGTAACCCTGGATCTCAGTAGCCATTGTGAGTCTAATCTACACCCGACTGAGTCGCCTCTATGGTATACCAGTCAACTGGTCCCCATCGCTTGCTTGGGAAGGCTGTCTGTGAGGAGGGACTGGCCTCATGTCTATCCTCACATCACTAAGCTGGCCTTTCTAAGCTTCCACTCATCTCTGCCCTTAGGCTAGACGGACCTAATCTCATCCCTCTTACATGTGTCCCTTCTTTAAATACTAGAAAATAGTATCTCGTGCCCTCGTCTCCATAATTCTTTCCTTTTTCCTTCCACTTCTCCCCATCAATTATCATATGACATGGACTTAAGGCTATTATGACGCTGGCTGTTAACAAACATTTATTAAGTGCCTACTATGTACCAGGCTAAGCAATTTACAAACATCATCTCATTTGATCCTCCCAACAATCCTGGGAGGTAGGTGCTCTATTATTATCCCTATTTTACAGCTGATGTAAGCAGAGTTTAAGTGACTTGTCCATGGTCACACAGCTACTAAGCATTTGAGACTGGATTTGAACCCAGGTCTTCCTGATTCCAGGACTGGCATTCTATTCTCTGAGCCACCTAGCTGCCTAGGCTGGTCATCTTCTGAACATTCTCCAAGTTATCAATATCTTTCCTAAGCTGTAGTGCCCATAACTGAACACAGTACTCCAGATATGGTTTGCCCAAGGCAGAATAGCTTTCTAATTTCTGAAAGTTAGGTCTTTCTCTTTTTTTTTTTTTGGATGAGGCATTTGGGATTAAGTGACTTACTCAGGGTCACACAGCTGTGTCTGAGGCCAGATTTGAAGTCAGGTCTTCCTGACTCTAGGGCCAGTGCTCTATCCACTATACTACCTAGCATCCTCCCAAGTTAGGTGTTTTTCTTTTTCCTTTTTTTTTTTTTTTGGTGAGGCAATTGAGGTTAAGTGACTTGTCCATGTTCACATAGCTAGTTAAGTGTCAAGTGTCTGAGGCCAGATTTGAACTCAGGTCTTCCCGACTCCAGGGCTGGTGCTCTATTCACTGTACCACCCAGCCTCCCCCAAATTAGGTCTTTCTTAATGCAGCTCCAATAACACCTAAGCATTTTGGGGCTGCTGCATCACACTCAACTCATATCAAAACTGCCCTCCCCTGTAATCTCCAGCTTTTTTGGTTTAAATTTTAGGGATATATACAGGCAATGGGGTATAGAAATCTATCCTTCCCTACAGGAAAATAGAAGTGGAAGGGGATAAAGAGAAAAGGAGGGGGGTGATAGAAGGGAGGGTAAATTAGGGGAAGGGGTATTCAAAATGTATGCCGTCATGGGGTGGGGGGAGGGGTGAGATGGGGAGAAAATTTGGAACTCAAAATCTTGTGGAAGTGAATGTTGAAAACTGAAAATAAATTAAGTTTTAGGGACATATTACCTGTATGTCCCAATACATCCCTCTGTCCTCCCCTATTCAGGGAGACCTCCGTTATAACAAAACATTATAGAGAAAAAGAAAGAACTTCAGCAAAATCACCCAACATACCAAATCTGACATACTCAGAATTCTCCACCCATAGATCTCCACCTTCGCAAAGAGGGGAAGATATTATTTCTTTGGAGCCTGGCTTGGTTATTATAATCTCCCAACACTGTTCCTTTTTCAACCCATTCTTCTTATTTACACCATTGTCACTGTGTATATTGTTTCCCTGGTTTTACCTACTTCACTTTACATTAACTCTAGTCTTTCCATGATTCTCTGTGTCGATCACTGTAGTTTCTTACAACACAGTCACAGTTGTTCAGTCATGTCTGACTCTTTGTGACCCCGTTTGGGGTTTTCTTGGAAAAGATACTGGAGTGGTTTGCCATTGCCTTCTCCAGCTCATTTTATAGATGAGGAAACTGAGGCAAACAGGGTTAAGTGACTTGCCCCAGGGTCACACAGCTAGTGAATTATCTGAGGTCAATTTTGAACTCGTCTCCTTGACTCCAGACCAGGTGCTCTACCTACAGCATGATCTAGCTGCCCTACAACACAGTATTATTCTGCTGTATTTATGTGCTTGCCTGTTTTTCAATCTGCTTTTTGTCTAGTTTTGCATCTGCCTTATTTTTGGTTTTTGGCAACTAAAAAAAAAGTGTTGCTATGAATATTTTGGTAAATGAGGGACCTTTCTTTTTTTCATCAAAAGTTCATAGGCATTTTGAAAATGCCCTTCCTCGACGTTATTCCAAATTGTGCTTCAGAATCCAGGCTTTGTCTAATATCGGCACTCTTAGGCAAGGCACTTCCCTGGTCCTTAGTTTCGTTATGTGTGAAATAAGGGGTTGAAGAAGTAGAGGGCTTCTTTGGTTTCTTCAAGCTCCAAATCTATGGTCCTCTGACCTCGGAGTTAGACCAGTTCCACTAATAATGTACCAGTGAGCTCATTTCTCCACACCTCTTTGAATGTTGATTATCCCCATCTTTTATCATCTTTGCCCATTTGAGAGGACGTAAAACCTTTAAGAGTGCTTTGACATGTGATTCTCTAATTTGGAATTCTGTTGAGAACCATTTGTTCATACCCTTTGACAACTTATTCATTGGAGAGTGGCTTTTGGCCTTTTAAGTTTGTTGGTTTCTTATACAGCTTGGATATCAAGTCAGATATCAGTGATATTGTGGTCTTCTTGTTTGTTTAGGTATGACTTTTAGTAATATTCCGGTCACCCACACATTTTGGGTTTATTACAATATATGGTAAAGATGTTGGTGTAAGCCTAATATCAGCCAAACTGCTTTCCAGTTTTCCCAACAATTTCCGTCAAGCAGGGAATTCAATTTATTTCTGCTCTCGGGTTTAACCACTGAGTTACTGCAGTCATGCTTTCCTAATTCTTCCTTAGCCAGTCTGTTCTGTTGGTTATTTTTTTAAAAAACAGAATCAAACAGTTTTGAGTATTACTGATCTAAAGTCTGTTATTCCACTTCATTCTTATTTTTAAAAATTATTTCCCTGGAGATTTTAGAGCTCTTAAATCTTTTTCCAGACGGTCTCCCTTGCCTCATCCTTGTAAAGTTGCTTTCTTGGACCGAAGTGAGGCTTGATATTCAGTCCTAGGAAATATCTTATTGTGTCCAGCCCAATTTTCCAGCCTGTTGTGATCTTTCTGGATCTTGTCATCCAGTGTGCTGCTAACTCCTAATTTGGGGTCATCTGTACATTTGACAATGATGTCCTCTATTCTCTGATCCGTTTTTATTGATGAAGATGCTAAACATTGAAGCCAATTACAGATCCCTAGGATATTGGTGGAGAGCCTTCTTTCCAAGTAGCCTTGGAGCCAGCCACTAATGACATTCAACCAATTCTGAATTCATCTCGTTTTATCGTCTAACCCGTATGATTCCATTTCTTCCACAAGAATATCGATACCCTAATTTGCTAACATCTAGGCAAACTATTTAGCATGCTGCTGATTTAGCAATTTAGGGACTGCCCAAAAAATACATTCTAGAATCATGGCAGGAATCAAAATCCTAGAGGCTCACCGGCCCATAGTTTGTATATATACATTTACACATATTTTCAATTGAAGGAACTTCACACCAATGACAGAGGCCAGCAATGGACAATGTTGGCTGTGACAAACAGGACTGGAGGCCCACCTGACTTGATGTAAAGACAATAGGAGGAACTGTCAGGGAACAGGTCTCAGACATTTTCATAGTGTCTTAAGGCTTACAAAGCCCCTTCCTCACAATTTGGAAGTAGGGTATATGAGGACAGATGATTATTTCCACCTCACAAATGAGGAAATTCAAAGGAAGAAATTGAGGGCAACAACCCATGTTTAAAAAAAAAAAAGCTCTACATAACTAATAATTAGAGAAATACAAATTAAAGCAACTCAGAGGTTCCACTTCTCATCTATCAGACTGGCAAACAGGACAAGAGAAAAATGCCAGCTGTTGGAGAGGCTGAGGAAACGCATATCGCCAGTGGAGATGTGAATTGGTTCAGCCATCCTGGAGGCAACTTGTACTTCGACCTTGAGAACAGCCATTCTACAATCCCCTTGGTCCAGTGATGCCACTACTAAGAGTGCATCCCAAAGAAATCAAAGAGCCCAAAACGGTTAACTATGGCGGCACCCTACTGGGGAGTGGCTAAACCAATCGTGCTATACAAACAGAAAGGAACATTACTGTGCCAGAAGAAACTGTGAAAGGGACCCTTTTGGAGAAGACTGGGAAGACCTCTATAGAGTGACACAGAGGGGAAGTAATGGAAGGGATAGATTAAGGAGGAAAACAAAAGGACTGAAGACCTTGGGACTTAGAAGGAAAGCAAATGAATTGTTCAAGGTCACAAAGCTAGTGTTACTATCTCTGAGATTCGAACCACAAGGTTCTTCAGTCTTAAAGACTAGCACTTTTGTTATTCATACTAAAGAGCTGAAGAACAGAAGAAACCAATGACAAGGCTCTGACAAGTTTAAAACATTTATTTAAAATACAATTTATAAAATGCTTAATCTGCTGACTTGGGGACCCGAGGAGAGAGGTGGGAGTTCAGGGAGCTGCCCGGCTACTCCAGCAGGGCAGAACTGCAGGCTATATGGCATCTCTCCCTCCCTCCCCTACTGTTCTCTCTTGAACACACCCAAGGGGACCTTGGCTCACCCTTGGGGGGGGGCCGGGGGGACACAACTAGAAACAAGGTTCCAAGAGGTCTCTCAAGCCTCTGGGCCATGGTGGCCAAGTGTGTCCCCACCTATCTAGTCTCAACAGGAAGGCTCCCCCAGGGAGGGCTGGGCGGGGCTCATGGGGTGTTGCCTCCTGCCTGCAGGTGGGGAGCACCCTGATTGACTGGGCTGAGAGGGGCTGACTGCCAGCCCCTGCACCCCCAGCTCCTTTGGTTAGCTAGGCTGATGTGGGAGAAGTGGCTCATTGGAAGCTGTTAAGCCGGGAGGTCAGGGGCCTGGCCCATGGGGTCAGAGGAGCTGGAGAAGAGGATGTTACCATGGACAGGTAGCTAACGGGGCAGCAGCCTTGGGTTACTGCCCTCCACCCCCATCCCGGATTTCCTAAGCCAAAGCCCACAGCTCATTTTAAAAGTAAAAAAATAAAACAGAACAAAACTGAACCAAAGGAAATGCACTTAGGAAAGATGTGGACGACCACAGAAAGCCCAACCCCTCCTCCTCCCATCTCCCTGACCCAACCCCACAACTCACACACATAATAAGAGTTTCCTATTTCCTTCTCTCACCCTTCCCACTCTGGGGAGTCAAGGCAAAGCCTTGGTGCTGGAGCTGCCGGGGGCCCAGAATGGGACCTAGTCCCACCTCAGCAAAGGAGGGCTAAGTCCCAGGCCCAGGGGAGGGGGGGACATGCTCTCACCACCCTCACACGCCCTTACTGCTGCAGAAAGGACCCAGGAAGGAAGGCCCCTCCTGGGCCCAAGATGTGCATGCCTGGGTGCCTTGGGGATTCCCCGCCCCCACTCTCTGGGCCAATGAGTTGTATAGACTATGCACTCAGGCAAGGGGGTCAGAACTGAGGAGAGCAGGCCTCCCCTTTCCTCTGCCACTCCTGGAGGGAATTCCCTGGGAGAGGAGGGAATCTGATGCCACTGTTTTATGGGCCAATGGTTATCACGTCCCTTTCACTCACTGTGGCACCACTCCTCCTCGGGATCAACCCATTACGACCCTCACTTTGGTGCAGGCAGTGACCACAAAGAGTGGCAGGCCTTTCCTCCTGCTGGGCCTGACCCCATGGCAGGATAAGACAGGATAGGAGAGACAGCACACATGCCACCACTGAAACAAGGCAAGGCTCAGGGCCCTCGAGCAAATGCAACCTGCCACCCTGGGTCTAAATATGGCTTGGCAGTGCATACGCGCCACCTGTGGGACGCAACAATCTCCTGATCCCTTGGAAACTTGTCAGTTAAAACCAGAAGCGGGAATTGGCTAATAACTAAGTCCTAGGAAGAATCAGTGCAGTAGAAGAGAGGAGATGGGGACTGAGAAGAAAGGCGGACCTCGGACCTCTCCACAGTGTACGGGCAGCACGCACACCCTATGGACCCAGGAGGAAGCCACTTCAGGCACCACCTACTGCCTCTGCCCCAGTCTAAGGGGCCGAGCTGAATTTCCAGAATCCAGATGGGGCGTAGAACACCCTCCTCCGGCCCCTGCTTTGGAAGGCGGGGGCATCTAGGCGAGGTGAGTGAACACTGTAGCTTCGACCTACAGGGAGCCAGTCTGTCATCACCAACCAAGGCATGACTGGAGGCTTCTTTCCAAATGTAATCAGCATGGTTAGTCCCCAAAGCAATGACTCCTAGAAAGAAACGTGCCAGGTTCAGCTCTGGACTGGTACCATAAGCTGAGCAATAGTGGGCCTCAGCTCCTAAGAGTTCAAACCTTGCTGTCGCTGGGAAATCGAGCTACCTTCTAACAACACTGTACAGATGGCTTATCAGCAGAGGCCTTGGAACCAGACTCGTTCCCATATTTTCCTTGGATAAGAAAGCAAAATACTGAATAAATCTAGTTTCCCTTGCTTGTAAACCTGGGTATGACCAGTCTCCCTCCCTCCCTCACCCTGAACTCTTGGGTGGAAACAGCCCATGTGAATGCTGGGGTAGGGAGACCAGCCTGGGGAGAAAGGGAGGGCAAGTCTGTCTGCTTTCACCGCCTCCATGAACACTAGTGGTGCCTCCTGCCAGCCCCAGCTCTCTGGCCTGGTCTCCGTAAAAGGCCCCAACAAGAGGAGGCTCAGCTGAGAACAGGCAATGGAGGGAGCCCTCTTGGGGGCAGTAATAGGAACAGAGAACAAGAAGCTAAGCTTGCCAAAATCCAATCTGTTACTGTTTCTGCAAATTCACTGAAACATCTTAGAAGACTATCAACTACCCTTCTCAATTAAAACAAAAATTCATTTAACAGCTAAAACCCCTCCCATGCACTTCTCCTTGCAAATCAGACTCTGAAACAAAAACAAACGAACAAAAAAAAAAGAAAAAAAAAGAAAAGAAAAAAAAAGAAAACAATCCTTTCAAAAGGAACTTGCTATTTAAGTGATGAAGACATGCACGTTTGGGGGCGTTCCCATTTGTGTTTTGAAATCCCAAATTAATGAGCATGATAAACTGTTATTGCTGGCACTGGCTTCACCCCAAGTGGCACCATTTGACTCTCCACTTGGAGTCTGCGGTGGGCCCCCCCAACCCACCTCATGCCCCCATCTTCTCCTTTTACAGCGACTTGGGACAGCCCTTGTCGAGGTGCCAATCACAGTGGGAGGAGGGGGTCGGGGGTCACAGTGCATGGGGTTCAAGGTCACAGTGGGCAGAGCAAAGGGGATCACAGTGCAAGTAAATCAGGTCGTTCCCTCTGCTCAAGTCCAGCTGTCCGCCACGGCAGTGCAACCCGTGGCGGACGACCCTGGCGGTGGTGGGGGCAGCGGCGGCAGCATCCTCTCGCACCCACATTTATCTGCGCTGCTTGAAGCCTTGTGAACCATCAGGACCCAGGGGCTGCCTGATCACATTATTGGGCTGTCTGGTGTCTTCGGGCTGGGAGATCCTGGTCGGCCTAAATGGAAGCAGATCAAAGTGGAAGGTCATCTTTGGTGCGTGTGTGTTTGCTGGTGTCCAGCTGCCCTCTGTGCTCCCTCCCTTCCCCACACATTCCCTCCCTCACCCCTCCTTCCCCCGGCTAATTCTCGGGGCATTAGCAGGCCGTGCTGGCCCTCTGGCCGCTTGAGACATCAAATCTGCAGGGGGTCCTCTAGGCCATGTCTTTAACCCTGCCTTTCCTGCTTCCCTAGTCATCTCCGGGGATGAGACCACTGCTGAAGGTGGCCTGCTTGCCCTCACACACTGAGCCCGACAATCTGTCCTTGACAGGGGCCAGAAAAATCTCCCAAGTGTTGGAATGAGATACTGATGAGTCCTAATGACAAAGGCGGCCAAGCACTGATCCAGGAGGTAACAGAATGCTTACCCCAAGATAGAAACCTGAACCACTTTTGCACAGACAGATCAGGACTCTGAAAAAATAAATGAAGCACAAGGAGAAGACAAGCAGCGCCCACAAAACCACTGACAGGGGTGTGGGTGTGTGTTGGGGGGGGGGCAGGGACCAAGCTATGGTCATGACTTAAATTCCAGAACAACTAAGACACAAGGCATCTCCCTTTTGAGATGCTTCAGAAGGAACTGTTTGCAGCTCACAGAGGAAGACCGAGTCCTAGAGAGGGGAAGCACTTTGGTGGGGTCATGTGGCTAACGCAGGGCTTAACAGGATTTAAACCCAGGTCCTCTAAAAAACCCAGGGCTCTTTTCACTTACATGTTGCTGTCTTTCCTGATAGTACAGCCAAGAAACAGAAACAGTTTCAAGGGTTTAATTATTGAGGCACAGATACAGGATAGTTTAAGGGAAATCAACATCAACAATATTGAGGGAAACTATGGGTGTTTGGGGGTGGCACTAGCCAAGGTAAGCCTGTGTCCAACAAACCACTACTACACTTGGCCTTGTAAAAGCTGTTTTTATTTCATGACCTGAACCCTGCAGGCATCTAGGGGTCACAATCATGAGTGTAAGTCCTGAAGGTGCTGTGATGTAAATCCAGGTGGGTCCCTTCCTCTCTCTCAGCCTCAACATCACAGGTGGGAGAGCTGGAAGGGCCCAACAGAGCCCCCATTTCAATCTTGATTTTAGAGAGGAGGAAACTGAAGCACAGAGAGGGAAGGGATCTGTCCAAAGCCACGAGCAGCAGCGCCAGGATCTGAACCCAGATCTGGTGCCTCTTTGGCACGCTGGATGGAGCCGTGCGTTTGCTGGACCTCAGGGAAGAAGGTAACACAAAATGAGCGTCTTCAGCGTGGTTCCTGTGTTCTGCGACTCCTCTAGGAGAACCTGGGGCCCCAGATGAGACACTACTTGACCACTAGGCTCACCTGTCAAGGATGGGCTTCTCTTGTTCTTCCTCAGGGCTGGCGCTACCGAGGATCCGTTTCCGGGCCTCCGCGTATTCCGCCTCGCGCTGGGCCAACGACTTCACAGGGAGGGCTGGCCTGCTGCTAGAGTTGGGGCTGCTGACGACCCCGTTGCTTGTGGGTCTTTTGAGGATCCGTATTTGAGGAGGGGGTCCTGAGGGAAGGCTATCGTCCTGAATAACGATGGGCACTTTGGGAGGAGACGCAGATTTCCTGCTGATAGAGAAATCAAAGGTGGCCTCAAGATACTGATCAGATTCAGGCACCACGTCTGATCCCACATTCCCCAAGTGCCCCAGGTACTAACATCCACGCCCAGGCTTCAGAGGAGGAACAAACCACCACGTGGTATGGCCCTCGACAGCAAGCCAACACTCAGCCAGGACATGACACTGCTTTTGGAGTCTCTTCCAAAGGCAACTCAGCCCAGGGTGGGACAATGAGAGGCGTGCCCACACTGCCTCCTCCAGAACATCCGGCCCCCCAAAACCACAATGACAGCAACAGGTAGAAATTGTAAAGAGACAAATTTAGGCTTATCATAAGGAAAAATGTCCTCATGATTCAAGGTATCCAAAAGTGGAAAGGGCTGTCTTGGGAGGCAGTAGTGCCCCCTCCTGGGTGGTCTTCGAGCAAAGGCTGGACGACCACTTGTTAAGCATGTCGTGGTAGGGATTCTTTGAGGCTATGAGTTGAATCGATGGCCCCTCTCAACCTCAAGATTCTGTGATTTAGTGAGTGGTACCCCAGAGCTACAAAATGCACATCCTGAACACAGCTCTCTGAGCAAGCCTGCTCCAACAAGAATCCCAGCTTCCTTGCTCAGAGAGAACCATGGCCACCCTGCAAGGACACAACACCTCAGCATGGCAGTACCTCCCCCCCACACGAGATCTGAAGGGCTTAAACTGCCCCCAGGCTACAAGGGACCTGTAAAAGATTTCTGAGAAAACGGCCCACACGCTTTTGGGGGATGGGGCTTATACTCCTCAGTGACAGACCCCAAAAGAGGTTGTTGGGCCTAGCTGCATGCTCCAGCTGGACAGCGGCGGGGCCTGAGTTAAGGACAATTCCAGAGATATGGGGAGGGCATGACCATGCCTCGGGAAGTGGCCTGCCTCCTCTACAATAAGGCCACATCTGGAACCATCAACAAAATGCCCCGCTCTACCCCCACTCCCCTCCAAATGAGAGGGTCCTAGCCACACCACAGGGCAGGGAAGAGACAAGCGAGTGGGAAGGGTTTCGAGGCAGGAGGAGGAAGTTCTTCAGAGGCATAAATAACCCCAAATGCCCCCAGACCCTCCCAACAACAGTTTGCTGGCTCCTCCAGAACCAAACTGGCATCGGGGGAATCTATTTCTAGAGCACAGCACTGGCTGCTGGGGATTGGAGGGCAGCTGCTGCCATAGCTGAGTTGGAACAAGCATGGGGATGACATGGAAAAACATTCGGTAATGGAGGAGGTGGTGCGCGGTCACCATGACGAGCAAACAGACAGACCTGGAGCCAGGAGTCTGATCAAGGAAGTGGGAAGCCAGGAGAGCTAGAGCAGAGGCAACGCTGACCATCCCAGACAGAGCTTCTCTGGAGAATGACTGTGGGCCACTCCCCAACTGGAGACCAGCCCTGGGCTGCGTTCTCCTGACTTAGCTAGGGCACAGAAGCAAATCAGAATCACAAGCTGGCGTCTTATTTCCCTTATCTGGAATACAGTCCCCCTGCTCTAACCCTGACCCCCGTCCTGATGGGGAACACACTTATTCTTAGAAGTCATCCAAAGATCCTCCAGCAGGCCTGTTACTGGACTTGTCTATAATGTCTCAAGTACCCATTTCCCAGCTCAAATGGGAGGGTTCATTCTCTTGGGTCTAAACCTTAGGGTCAGCTAAAAAACAGCAATGATTGCTCAACTCTCAAACAGAAGAGAGCAAAGGTCCTCTGGAGCAGAGAGCAGTCTTACCTCTCCTTTTGGGTGATCTTCAGTTTTTTTTCCAACCGTCTGTCTATTTCCTAGAGGGAAAAAATGTATATAAAAAGTGGAAAAAAACATCTCTCAAATAGAAGTTTAATTGTCTATATTTTAAAAAAGAATCCAGGACATTGTCAAGTACTGTCAGGTCACTATTGTCAGGCTAGAAGCTCCACTAGCAGCTAAGGTGCCCTAAAGATCACCTAAGTGAGACAGCCCTGGAACGTCACATCCCTGAGGCCTGGCAGGGTCCTCAGCTCAGGTGCCCATGCTGGACAGCAGGCCAAGCATGAGAACAACATGCAGCTCTGAGCTCACACCAGAAAAGAGAAGCCGACAAAACCACTCCTCTCTGGGCCCAGTGAAAACTCATATTTCTACAGTGCTTAAAGGTTTACAAGGTGCATTCTTCACAATAACCCTGAAGTACTGGGATTTACATTTTACTTGAGGAAACTGAGTCTCAGCAGTTATATTATTTGCCTGTAGCCACATGGCTATCAAATATGTGAGCTGGGATTTGAACTGGGTCTCTTGACTCCAAATCTAGCACTCTTTCAACTATATCCCATTATACAAAAAGATCACTAATTTGGATACTCCAGGAAGCAAGACCTGATTAAAAAGATGATCCTGGTTTTTTTTTCCCCCACCAAAGGGATTTAAAAATGGAAACCATAACTGTGAAATTAATTCCATTTTAGAAAACAGTATTTCCCCCCAAAACCAAAAACCCATCCTGCCCCCTCTGACTGAAAAATGAATCCAGCCCCCAGGAGCAGGCAGAAATTCTCAGCAGAGATTCATTAAGTTAAACAAAAGTTGCCTTTTAAAATGCAAATACTCCCAGGGACCATCAATTATTCACAGAGAAGACCCAGTGTGAACTGGTTGAACCAGAGCACAAAACCCTTAAAGCTGAATCCAGCTAATGAAAGAAGAAGCCTTCTCCTTATGAGGACATTTGGTGAAGGGTCCCTTGGAGGCAGGGGGCTTTAGGCAGGCCTAAGATCACTGAGTACCAAGGGAGTAGGGATGAGAGAAGTGTCAGATCAGCAGAGAACCTACCTAGCTCCCAGTTACCTTAATAAAGCTCTCACCCCCATTCCAGTTCGGCCTGCAGAGTCACTGGGAGAATCCTTTCTAAGACACTGTTCACTCAAGAGCCAGTAATGGCTCCCTTGCTGCCTGCTCCTTCAAGGCCAAAACTCCACCTCCGGCCTTTAAAGGCTCTTCCATAACCAGTGTCCCTCCTCCACGCTTGTTTCCAATGCTTTCCAATCCTGGCTCTCTCATAACGCTACTCCCCACCATCCACTGCTGGCTGTGCTAAAGGCTCAGTTGAACAAAGCCCTGGGAGTCTGGCATTTAACTCTTCTCAGCACTAGGCAGTGCATTAATTTAGGTGTCCCTGAACTAGGCTATCAACGCAGAAAGATCAGTACAATCACATTCAACTATCGAAGTGGAAGAAGAGAGCCACAGCCAGCACAACCAATCAGTCCCGATCAGATCACGTTTCTCTAGCTTGTGGTGAGGCCGGCAGCCTAAGTGCTGCCAGCCCCCTCATACAGATGGAAAGACAAGGCTCAGAGAGGTTCGGTGACTGCGCCAGGGTCCAGAGCTACCAGAACCAGGGAGGCCGAGTCGCTCTGGACCCCCAGTATTCTTCCCCTTCAAACGACCCCCGACCACACAAAGAACTCTGACAACGCAAAGATTTATGTGGCTTCAAGGAGAGAAATCACATCTAGCTGTGGGGTGGTGGAAAGCTCCACAGAAGGGGGTTGACATTTTTGAGGTTAGGCCTCAAAGGACGGACAGGATTGAAACAGGCAGAGCTGGGATAATGGAGCTGGAAGAGAGAGCATTCTAAAGGGAGACCACAAGAAAAGCAAAAACTATCTTTAGGCAATGGGGAGCCATAGGAGGTTTGGAGTTGGGAGTGACAAGAGATCAAAGAATTATGTTTCAGGAAGATTAAACTTACATCATATCCAAAGACTGATTAAATTAGAGGAAGAAGGAACCGAAACTGGGAAACCTGAAGAGTTAGGCTATACACTAATGGCAATGGTGATTTAAAAAAAAAGAGAGAGAGAGAGATTAATGTGAGAGAAAGGGGAAGAGGTAAAATAGAGCTTGACAACTGCTTGGACATGGGAGGGAGGGCAAAGAGATCCTCAACCATTAAGTGAAAACAGCTCTTACAAGTAATTTCTGAGCTCTGGGCAAGTGACATAATATGGGCCCAGAGTCAGCCATAAAATACATGGTCAAACATGGCAGAGGGGAGTCCCCACGGTCAACAAACCTAGGACACTGGGTGGATGCAGCTAGCAGAGGAGACCACTGCTGAGGGCTTCCTATTTTAGCTAATTATTCTTGATAACTAGATGCTAAGCTTAATTGTTTCCACGCTACTGGGAAGGACAAGGGCTGTTAGCCCCTTCCAAATGTCAGCACCCTAGGACAAAGCCTGATTTCTCTGCCCTAGGTATGGCTCTAAATTGTTAACAAAATCATTATTAATAATTATTAGCATCAAATTATTAAAGTTAAAATGCATATATTTCTAGTTAGTAACATTAACCTGTGTCAAAACAAAATTATCAAGCTTTCCAGATGGCTTGGATATTGATGGTATCCAAGACAGTCTTCAGAGGAGGAAGATGAGGGGCCTGTGGATCATTCAGGGGGAGGTATGCAGTGGGCAGGTAGGAGGGTAGTACTTGGGGCTCAGGCAATTAACCTGGGAGTTATCCAGACAGCAGCACTTCTTAAACTTTTTAGGTTTCAGGAATCCTTTACAATCTTAAAAATTACTGGGGACACTCTAAAGAGCTTTTGTTCATGTGGGTTATACCTATCAATAGTTACCATATTAGGGATTAAAACATCTTAATATTAGTATGGAAGTATTTTTGGTCTGGTGGATTTCCTGAAAGGCTCCTAGAGGTCCCTGGAACACATCTTGAGTACTACTACCACAAAGACAAAATCCGGGAACTACAGGATACCATCAAGAAAGAAAAGCAGGCCAGAAACAGGCCTTGGAGAGCCTATACTAGGAAGCCAGAAATCTGAATGTCATCTGCACTGACCTGAATTCACTTCAAGTTAACTCAAAAGGCCTTTATTAAGCACCACCTATGCACCAAGGACATCAGGCAAGCAAGAGTCCCTGTCCTCAAGTGACTTCTATTCTACTAAGAAGAAAAACACACAGGTAAGGATGTACAGAACTGAACCAGACAGCTAAATGGAGATACAGTTATGAACTGACAAGTGATTTGGTTGGAGGATGCTAACCGTGGGGCTGCAGCAGGGGCCGAGAAAAGGACTCTGGTAGGAAGCGGTATCTGAACTGAAATCGGAATGGGACTAGGGATTCCCAGGCAGCGACACAGAGCCAGGAGCCGGAATGGCATGTCTGGGGAAGAGCGAGGCGGGTCAGTCTGCCTGGAGTGGAGAGGGCACAAGGGGAAGCAACAGGAAATAAGGAGAGATTGGAACTAGCTTTCGATGCCAGATAGAGGCATTTGTGTTTTAGTCTGGAAATTACCAACAATGCCCACTGAAGCTTTTGGAATTGAGGAACTGGGGGAAAGGAGACAGGGAGTCACATACGAATGCAGCAGTTAGTCCAGGCAGGAGGTGACTTGAGAAAGGGAGGTGGAAGGAAAGGGGAGAAAGAGTTAGAGGGCAGTCTTTTCCATTTTCTAAACAGAACAAGGGAGTTCCAGGCCTGTCCTCTGAGCTTTAACCATTAAAAAGGCAAGGAGGGTACGTTCAGAAGAGAGAGCCTAAACTTTGGTGAGATCCCTCCCAGATCCTAAATTTGATCCTGGGCTTTGCACCTCCAATCACTGTGTTTTATCAAGATGTCCAAGGGTAAGCATATTCAGGGATGTAATTCACAAGAAAGAGTGATTGTAAAACCAGAATACTTCTTTACTCAAGCATAAAAAGGATTTGTACCTCTGCAGTGACAAACACACATACACCCACCAGTTAGGGGACCCTCTTCCCATTAGCATCAAGGCACCCTGTGAATCAGAAGGCTGCTTGGTAAGGGATGAATCGCAGTCTAGAGCAACAGCTTTATGGGATATTTTACCCAAACTATGGTGGCCTGATGACTTACTGCCACTCTGATCCATAGCAGACCTTTCAGCTCATTGAATTACTGTGTTCATTTCTGCTGGAAACAGTGGCTCTCTTCTCGAGGACAGTGCTGGATAACGACAAAATCAATTCTCATTTTAGAGACTTACAGAGTCGTTCATTAAGGACCTGAAAGGCCCAAGTGATGGCAGTAGGAAAAAAATAGCGTTTACAATATATCTGGACAAATGATCCCACAGAGTCTGCTGGAAAGTTTCCCCTGATCATGACTTCTTTGTGTCCTGAAACAGCCTCGCCTAATTCGGGGCAGCTCTAATTTTTTTCATTCTTTCTTACAGAGACAAAAACCTGCCTATCAGTCTAAATAAGTCTACGTCCAATCCTTTACCTGCACAGCCAACTTCAAATGCTTTTATGTCTGCCATCACTTCTTCAGACAAAACGTTTCTGGTTCCTTCAACCAATCCATTCTGATCGTAGCTCTGGTCTATCAATGACCCCAAGTTTCTTTTTTCAACACCCCTTATAAGCCACAGAAAGCTTTTACCACTCCAACACGCCCTGGGGTAAAGGACAGGAGACTGTAACTTCTTCTACATTCTACATTAAAGTGTGTCTGTAGGATTAGATTCTAGGATGTACACCAGTGATTTTTTAGAAACTGCCCCAGGCTCATCAGCAACACAATGAGCAGTGTGTCTTGGATGTGTCATTTTGGGGAATATTTCCACAAATGGTTAATTTCATCCACGAGCTGATCCTAGGGAGCTTCTATTTCAGTGGCTGATACTTTCTGACTTTTCCAAATTGTAAGGGTATGCTCAACTGTGATTTCTTTCAGAACCGGGAAGGCAGATTACAATTACACCTCTTCAGAAAAAGGCTTTGAGGAGGGGGAAAAAAATCTCCTGGA